CTGTTTTTCAATGGGACGACTTCTGAACGTCAGCGAGATCTTGACTGTCAAAATACGTGAATTAGGCCTCAGGACAATAAACCATTCTGTCACTGCCATTAGGTCTATTTTAAAAGTATTTTTGTCCTCAGATACAAGTAGTAATCGTCCCGCTAACGGACTACTGTCACGTGGGCGAAGCGGCGTGACGCTCCCCGCCCCCGTGACGTCACTCGGACGCTCAGTGCTCGCTGTGAGACGCCAATGGCAATGCAGCGGTCAAGTGCGAACTATTCTGACTAGACGAGCCGTTCAGAATGAAGAAATAATCGGCTGTTTAAAATAAAGATATAATATTATCATGCAATGTAAACTCCATTATAACGACACACAAGGGACTGAGCTTTTTCGATGTCATTGAGAGTGGTCGTTAAATAGAGTAGAACGGTAATGCGGATAGAAAGCAAGGTAAACCAATAAAGTCAAGAAATTTCGACGTTATAAGGGGTTTGTCGTCAAATCGAGTAACGTTGTAAAGAGTTTAATATTGTATTTCTTGTGTGCGCGTGCGCCGGTTATCAATAACATCTGTTCCTCAATGAGTTGTTGATAAGTATCAATTGTGAGCATTCTTTTAGTTCAGAACAGCCTGTCTAGTACTTATGATAGTTGAAAGGACGTCAAAGTACTCATTTTCGATGTAGCTACGTAATGTGCCTATTTGATGTGCCGTCGCCCGCACAATTGGCCAAGTGCGTTTTAACCGACTGCCTCGGGTGAGATCCGAAAATACGTTTCGTGATTCGACTTCATTTACTTTATGCGCGTAACAAAATGTATACATCAATGTGTTGAATAGGTAAACTTCTCAAAGCTGTGCTAGCTGCCATTGTAAATTAAATTCGATATTGTTACATAATGTAAGACAAAATCTTAGAGCGGCGATAAGGTGTGTTCACATTTCAACACGTTCACATTTCAATCTATTCATTCAATTTCAAGAGAGCTTGCATATACAGCCCGGCTATGCTAAGCTAACTTGAAAATTTCTAGCGGACTACAATGTGAACGAACTAGCTCGTAGACGATGGCCGCTGGGGCAGAAAAGTTCTCGAGTGGCGACCACGGGCTGGAAGACGTAGCGTGGGCAGGCCTCCTACTAGGTGGACCGACGATCTCGTAAAGGTCGCGGGAAGAGCCTGGATGCGGGCAGCGCAGGACCGTGCATTGTGGAAAACCTTGGAGGAGGCCTTTGTCCAGCAAGCAGTGGACGTCATTTGGCTGAAACAATGTGAACACAGCTTTAGCGGTTAGCGGGGGTTTAATCTGCACATGGTTGCAATGCAACTTATCGGAGTTTTCTGTTTCTTTTAAATAAGTAATACTTGTTATTGGATAGATCTACTGAAATTGTAATCGTTTTGCAGATTAAAGCCTCTTGTATCGAGTTTGTTTTTAACAAGCTGGTTCTAATTGAACGAAAGATCTCATATTTGGTATCATATCGCTCATATTGAAGCTAGCTTGTTGGAAACTACTTGTATCATACTAGATACAGCCGATTCTTGAAGACTGCTAATTCAATGTCAATTTTCATCTTTACATTGAGTCTTTTAGGATTTATTTTCAATCTTTTTCAAAGAGGTGATGTCGAACCTATTCTGAATTTGGGCCTTATTTTAAAATAATGTCGCAATCAATTTTGATGTATGTAACAGTTTTCATGCGAGTACTTAATAATCTTTTGTTTTAGCTAATTTGTTGTTTTATCTAAAGCTAGTTTAGTGGCAATTTGTTTACTATATTAATGTTAAGGGCACTATATTCGATTGACAAATAAAATAGCTATTTATACTGTATGTTTGTAGACAAAACACATAATGTTATTTACTATAGCCTGACCAGGAACATAAAAACCCTGGCATAGAGGCGCATCAATTGCATTTGATAGTGCAACACTGAGTACAGTCGTACCTGTGTTAAATTAATAGGCTAACTTTATGTATCAGGATTCAAGATTACGGGCTAATTTGATATTTTCATAAATTAATAAAAAAAATATTATTGTAGATAACCTGGTTTAAATAAATTAAATGAAACCATCAATTGAGCTAGTAGGATTTATTTTATTATTCATCAATAATCAAATCAGAACTTAAATATTCAACTGCAATGTCTGCTCATGAACGCTTCAAACTCTGTACTTATTTCCCAATTCCATAAAAATCAACACTTAGAAAGTGATAAAAAAAATTAAAATAGATAGTTGAAACAAACCACAGCTAATTTTCATAGTGGACTGTACTATACGATAAACATGTCAGTCAATTTGACAACCTTTGTCGGAAACATTATTCAATGAAAATATTGCCCGAACCCTTAGTATTTCTCTTCGACAAATACTTTAACACATTGTGAACCACATTTCTTTCACGACTATAAAAAGATTTTAGTAATTTAATTCACAAAATCAATTGCGCACATTTAAAATAAAGTTTGTTTACACTTTGACAGCAATAGACTGACATGCAAGGTGACATGTCAATGAAGTTTTCAGTTACTGTTGCCATTAAAAGAAATTAGTACCATTAGTTTTCCGCAACATGGCGAGGGTTTTTATGTTCCTGGTCAGGCTATAGATTAGATTTCTTTATAATAATATTTCAATTTATTAATATTTTATTTGTCGACCGGATTCGACTAAATGCATGCTATGCTGTGTTGTGACTGACTTTGTATATAAGTGCGTTGCTCCGATTCTATAAGGGTAGCTATAGGTCTTGCAATTAACTGAGTGTCTAAGGTATGGGAGCAACATGGGAGGGCTGGTGGCATTGACATATTAAGACGTGACGGAGCATTCAAATCTGAAGTCTTGCTGACGTTAGACGTCAACCAAAAGGCTTATTCCACTATTCCCCGTTGACAATCCCCGTCAACGGGGATTAGTAAACTTTTTGTTTACTATTCCCCGTTAACGTTAAATTGGAACTTATAACGGGGGATAATGAACTAAGAAGTTCATTAATCCCCATTACATTCAAAATAAAATCCTAATATAAGCTCCAATTGGCGTTAACAGGGATTAGTGAACAAAAAGTTCACTAATCCCCGTTGACGGGGATTGTCAACGGGGAATAGTGGAATAAGGAGGACTGAAGGGTGTTTTATTATAGCTAGTTTTGCACTTCATTTTAGGGTTTTCCCTAAGTGCAGACTGGACCCGTTTATTAGATTCAGAGCAACGCAAATTCTTGATGTTAAAGTGCAATAATTGTTAATTACTGTTCGCTCAGTATTCTTTGATGTGGATCAAGTTATACTGATTTTGTGGAATAAAATGTAAGTTTTAAATAATGACTTATGTTATTACTACAAATTAATGTGTTTCACTGCAAAATAGCTTTTATTTCGTATGAGATAAGAGCGGTCTTTGGGTTGATAGATTCTACACTATCTCCAGTACTAACATTATTATAACAGAGAAACCTTATCTGATGATTAATTTGTTACTCTTTTACGCAAACACTACTTAATGGATTTTGATGAAAACTGAAAACTTACAGAGATTCATAAAGGGTAAACGGAAAATAAAAGGCTAGTTTTTGCAATAGAAGTATTTATTACACGTATAATGCATATCGCCATTGAAAATATACAGGGCGTACAAAATATCTCCATTTTGGGATAAATAAGCTCTCACCAGTCCGTTGCGTTGAATTCGGGTCCACTGGAGAACTTTTATTATATTCTAGGGCTTTTAGAAACCCTTAGGTATTGTCAAATAATAATATAGAGCCTGCATAAGGCATATGACATTGAAACATCGCTCACACACAATTTTATTGTCACACATGTTTAAATACTGTTCTTTTAAAATACCTAGTTTTATACAAATTTCGTGTGAAAATCAGACAAAATGATATAGAACCGCTAGTAACTCATCATATAAGAAAATTATGAAATGAAGCTGAATCCTAGACACACAAACTTACATAACATTTATAATATTATTAAGTTAATCGTTTTACAAACTGTGTGATTATATTAATATGTTTAAAACAGTGGACCCTTTATCTACTTACAGACCTCAGATTAAGGAACAACTGAAGGAAGGTTTTCGTCAAAATCAAACAATATCAAATATTTAGACCGTTGAAATACATCACAAGTTGTAGGTATTGACATTGTCCAAATCCAAATGTTTTATAAACGTTCTAAGGTGTAATTGACCCTAAATAGATTATAACTTAAAAGGGTTTTGCCTGTCATCTAGGAAAACATTGGCATATTATATCTCTAGGCCATATTAGAAAAAACAATATTGCTAAAAGCACTGTGTGCAGATGTTTTTTTATGCTCATAGCTAATTTAAATGGGCTAAAATTGAATTCTGACGATTCCTAATTTTATTGGTCATAGATTTTAGATTATAAAATCTTTAGGCACTTAACTTTCAGCACCATTATCCAAAAATCAGATGTAACCTGTTGACATTGATGTGACCCGTATTTTCCCAGAAATAAAAGCGACAAATACGGTGTAACTGTTAATTTGATACACCATTGGTTTTCAAGAACTGTATGATAATAATTTGTATCTTTAATATTGTTTTTTCTTTTATGGCCTTACATATTTTTGCCTCTTTTCAATGAGCACGCATATTACGAGAAATAATAGGTATACTTATATGGAATAACATGTTTTCTAATACCAATGATTTACGATTAAGATCGAATACAATACATTTCTCAAAATACTATAATATTAACCTCTTACCTACGGGGGAGGCACCTATAGTTGCCAAGTCAAAAGTCACTTCTCAATACGGGTGGCATCTATTGTTATTTTGGCAAAGCCAATACTAAATCACGGTTTTCGACAAAAAAACAATAAAATTGCAAATTAAGTGTAAAATGCGCTTGTAATTATGAAACTACATTAGTTGCAGAATATAATAATCCAAATTTCAATACCGTAAGTCTCATACTTTTTAAAATATCTTGATGTAAAGTGGAGCAAACAATTTTATAGGTTAAAATACCCCGTATTGAGAGGCGACTTTGGGTTTCCAAGGGCCCGTAGGTAAAGGGTTAAAGGATTGCAGCACTAAAATATAAATGCACTTCGAAAGGTATTTTAAATACTGTAATTTAGAAACAAAGATAGGAATCTTTGGGAAGCCCTAACCCTACATATACTAAATTTAAAACATATAATAACATTTAAATCTCCATTGACACTTAATGACTAAATGAGATATATAATATCATTAATACATACTTTATTATGCAAGCGACACCGTGTGATGCTTATTTATGTATTTATTTTGGAAGTTTATTATTACAAGCTAAAAAAAAATGAGCGATACATCTACGAAAGCGTAAAACAACTGCAGATGAAGTTATTTCTAAAATTAAATCACATATTTTCAATTTGAAGATCTTCATCTTAAAAAAAATTTTTTTTTAAATGTTTAGTCTTAAATTAATGACAATTAAGTACTACGTATAGAAACTTTATGTTCATATAAAATCTCAGTTTACATATTCCCGTTAAACAAGTAAATGCAGTTTTAGAAAGTATTAGAAAAAGCGAATCTCGATAATTGCTTTTTGGTATTCGCAGTCTTCAATTCTACTTCTTTAGTTTTCTTACAATAACGTGGGTTTATTCGCCAAAATGTTCGTTTACATTATTGTCCGTTCACATATAAAATACTACAGCGAAAAGTTACGGGACGCAATAGTTTAGTACAGTTGAAATCACCGAATTAGAAAATATTTAGTGAGTACTTTCGTAAAAAATACGATTATTGTTGGGCAGTGAAAGCTTAATATTTTATAGAAATTTGACTGGTTTCTAAAAACTGTTTTAGATACAATGCTATTTAAAGGGAACCAGAATACTGTCTTGAGCAATTTTGAATGTTCATACAGTCTTTTAACAAATGTTTAGACAGTTCTAAAACTACTTTAAATTTTACGAAACTGTGTAGACAATTTACCAGAAAATTATTCAAACTATACGCCATTCAATTCCTTATTGTATTTCGTCCATTTCAAAATGTATCCACAGTATTTTTATCACAGTATTACGTTAGGAATACAAAGTCAACATATAAAAAACTGAGCTAATTTAAAATCAAGTTATACATGATTTGCAACTTAAGAAATTACATTTTAAATGGTTAACATCCATACCTTAAGCTCCACGGGTAGATTGTGAACTACGGTTATAATATTTTCGACTTAAGCAGACTGGTGTAAGGTATCAATCGATTTACGTATCTGGTCATAGCAGGAGCTCCCTCGGGAAGAGATTCATTGATGCGTAGTCCTCTAGTACCTGGAAAGTTCACAAGATATTTATATGTGACCCAAAACTCAACGTCAAGCGGTTAGCTCAAGACAGCTCTGAGAAAACTGTTCCCATCTGCAAGTTACTTAGCGGTGGGCAAGTGGGCATAACATTGTCTAACTGCATTTAGATCCACAGCTGAGAGTCAAACGGCGTGTGCACGAGTAGACAATTTCTCTAATCACCATCTGATTGAAGGCAATTTCTATAATCGTTATCTATTTGAAGGCGATTGCTGTAATCTCCATGTGTTTGTAGACCTCATTTTATATACAATTCATCCCTTATCGCGCGTCCCTATATTCTGACTTTTTTCTCAGGTGACATTGACGTTACTTACTTAGATTTTTCACAATTGTGTAGACACTAATACCAACCTGCAAAAGCTTCTCAACAGTGCACAGTCTTTTATTTTGCCTTAGAAGCGGACATCCCTGTTTTATTAATTCAATCGTTAGATATTACTATTATGTATACAATTGATGAAGGAACTAGTAGTTGTATTTGTTTAGTTTCGAAGAAATATTAGATTTTGTGATTTTATAAAAAAAACTGTTTTAGAAGCATATTTTCTAAAAAAATTACATTAAGTCAGAATTTTGTAANCTAAAAAAAATTTTTTAGGCAACTAGCCTATACAATACATGTCTCAAAATACTATAATATTAAAGGATTGCAGCACTAAAATATAAATGCACTTCGAAAGGTATTTTAAATACTGTAATTTAGAAACAAAGATAGGAATCTTTGGGAAGCCCTAACCCTACATATACTAAATTTAAAACATATAATAACATTTAAATCTCCATTGACACTTAATGACTAAATGAGATATATAATATCATTAATACATACTTTATTATGCAAGCGACACCGTGTGATGCTTATTTATGTATTTATTTTGGAAGTTTATTATTACAAGCTAAAAAAAATGAGCGATACATCTACGAAAGCGTAAAACAACTGCAGATGAAGTTATTTCTAAAATTAAATCACATATTTTCAATTTGAAGATTTAAAAAAAATTTTTTTTTTAAATGTTTAGTCTTAAATTAATGACAATTAAGTACTACGTATAGAAACTTTATGTTCATATAAAATCTCAGTTTACATATTCCCGTTAAACAAGTAAATGCAGTTTTAGAAAGTATTAGAAAAAGCGAATCTCGATAATTGCTTTTTGGTATTCGCAGTCTTCAATTCTACTTCTTTAGTTTTCTTACAATACGTGGTTTTATTCGCCAAAATGTTCGTTTACATTATTGTCCGTTCACATATAAAATACTACAGCGAAAAGTTACGGGACGCAATAGTTTAGTTTAGTACATTTGAAATCGCCGAATTAGAAATATTTCCTGAGTACTTTGGTAAAAAAAATAACGATTAATATTGTTGGGCAGTGAAAGCTTAATATTTTATAGAAATAGGCTATTTGACTGGTTTCTAAAAACTGTTTTAGACACAATGCTGTTTAAAGGGAACCAGAATACTGTCTTGAGCAATTTTGAATGTTCACAGTCTTTTAACAAAATAAATGTTTAGACAGTTCCAAAACTACTTTAAATTTCATTTTACGAATCTGTGGAGACAGAAAATTATTGAAACTATACGCCATTCAATTCCTTATTGTATTTCGTCCATTTCAAAATGTATCCACAGTATTTTTATCACAGTGTTACGTTAGGAATACAAAGTCAACATATAAAAAACTGAGCTAGTTTAAAATCAAGATATACAAGATTTGCAACTTAAGAAATAACGTTTTAAATGGTTAACATCCATACCTTAAGCTCCACGGGTAGATTGAGAACTACGGCTATAATATTTTCGACTTAAGCAGACTGGTGTAAGGTGTCAATCGATTTACGTATCTGGTCATAGCAGGAGCTCCTTCGGGAAGAGATTCATTGATGCGTAGTCCTCTAGTACCTGGAAAGTTCACAAGATATTTATATGTGACCCAAAACTCAACGTCAAGCGGTTAGCTCAAGACAGCTCTGAGAAAACTGTTCCCATCTGCAAGTTACTTAGCGGTGGGCAAGTGGGCATAACATTGTCTAACTGCATTTAGATCCACAGCTGAGAGTCAAACGGCGTGTGCACGAGTAGACAATTTCTCTAATCGCCATCTGATTGAAGGCAATTTCTATAATCGTTATCTATTTGAAGGCGATTTCTGTAATCTCCATGTGTTTGTAGACCTCATTTTATGTACAATTCATCCCTTATCGCGCGCCCCTCTATTCTGACGTTTCTCAGGTGACATTGACGTTACTTACGTCATCGTCACCATGACAGGAGCTTGGCTATAGGGATACCGGTATTTTAACGTTTAGATTTTTCACAAATTACTACTAAATAAGTAGACACTAATACCAACCTGCAAGAGCTTCTCTGTAGTAGGTTTAGACACGTCTAGCTGTAGAATCGCCTTCAGTTTCTCCCCGCTGAGACACAATCGCTTGTTCAACAGCAGTTCTGCGCCGGCGTTTGGTTCCTGCGGCGTGTGGCAAGCTGAAGATATTATTATCTCTAATCGCTATCTATTTTTGAAGGCGATTTCTCCAATCGCCATCTGTTTGAAAGGGATTAGCCCAAATGAGTAGGTACCAACCTGCAAAAGCTTCTCCACAGTGGGTTTAGGCACGTCCAGTTGCAGGATTGCCTTAAGTTTCTCCCCGCTGAGGCACAATCGCTTGTTCAACAGCAGTTCTGCGCAGGCGCTGGGTTCTAGCGGCGTGTGCGCGTAACTAATCGCGATCAGTCTGAAGGCAATTGCTCTAATCGCCATCTGTTTGAAAGCGATTAGCCCAAATGAGTAGGTACCAACCTGCAAAAGCTTCTCCACAGTGGGTTTAGGCACGTCTAGCTGTAGAATCGCCTTGAGTTTCTCCCCGCTGAGACAATCGCTTGTTCAACAAAAATTCTGCGCCGACGGTGGGTTCTAGCGGCATGTACGCGTAAGTAATCGCTATCTGTTTGAAGGCGATTGCTCTAATCGCCATCTATTTGAAAGCGTTTAACCTTAAATGAGTAGGTACCAACCTGCAAAAACTTTTCAGCTGTGGGTTTAGGCACGTCTAGCCTTCAGTTTCTCCCCACTGAGACACAATCTCTTGTTTAACAGCAATCGCTATCAGTTTGAAGGCGATTGCTCCAATCGCCATCTGTTTGGAAGCGATTACCTTCAAATTAGAAGGTGTTAAGTAATATTCTTACCTGCAAAAGCTTCTCAGTAGTGGGTTTAGGCACGTCCAGTTGCAGGATCGCCTTCAGTTTCTCCCCGCTGAGACACAATCGCTTGTTTAACAGCAGTTCTGCGCCGGCGCTTGGTTCCAGTGGTATGTGCGCGAGCGAGTAGCGGCGGCAGACGTCATCGAAAGCAATCGCTTTATCTAAATGCTATCTATTTGAAGGCGATTTGCTCTGATCGTCATCCGTTTGAAGGCGATTAGATCGTATTAAGTACTATTCTTACCAGCAAAAGCTTCTCAGGAGTAGGTTTAGGCACGTCTAGCTGTAGAATCGCCTTGAGTTTCTCCCCGCTGAGCACAATCGCTTGTTTAACAGCAGATCTGCGCCGGCGCTTGGTTCCAGCGGCGTGTGCGCGTAACTCTAATCGCTATCAGTTTGAAGGCGATTGCTCCAATCGCCATCTATTTGAAAGTGTTTAACCTTAAATGAGTAGGTACCAACCTGCAAAAACTTTTCAGCTGTGGGTTTAGGCACGTCTAGCCTTCAGTTTCTCCCCACTGAGACACAATCTCTTGTTTAACAGCAGTTCTGCGCCGGCGTTTGGTACCAGCGGCGTGTGCGCGTAACTCTAATCGCTATCAGTTTGAAGGCGATTGCTCCAATCGCCATCTGTTTGAAAGCGATTACCTTCAAATTAGAAGGTGTTAAGTAATATTCTTACCTGCAAAAGCTTCTCAGTAGTGGGTTTAGGCACGTCCAGTTGCAGGATCGCCTTCAGTTTCTCCCCGCTGAGGCACAATCGCTTGTTCAACAGCAGTTCTGCGCCGGCGCTTGGTTCCAGCGGCGTGTGCGCAAGCGAGTAGCGGCGGCAGATATCGGCCCACGCGGTTAAATGCTTGTCGTTCGCTTCCTCCGCTACCGACGCTATGTCGTTCTGGATAAAGAAAATACACCAACAATCAGCTGATATAAATAAATTGTGACGTGTCAATAAGGGCATCATTTCACTTTTTAAATAGATGATCTACAACGAACTGTCCTGCCCGTGACATTGAAAGGGGGGCGCCACCGTCAATACCAGATCGCTGGTTCCGATTTTTGCCACGTTGGAAACTGTAAAGTTGAACTATGGTGGCGCCCCCCTGTCAATGTGTTTGATGGGACAGTTCAGTTTAGTGGGTCTATACTTAACAGTTGGCACCACTGGCGAGTGATAGGACAGTAGCGCCATCTTGGTGAGTGCAAATATGATCCCACCAAAAACATTCTGTAAAAATCTAGCCAAGTCTCGATGGACTGCTGCTTGTTTATCTCTAAAAAGTAATGAAATCTAGACAAAGTCGTGCCAAGTCTATGGTTCCTTACTGCAATTTCTTTATTATTATAGTTAATGTTGTGTGACTTGGCCGTTGAAGGGTACAAAACCAGGTGCTCCATGACACTATTGCACCAATCTGTCGCCAGAACCGCTACCCATTGACGATGGAAAATTGCTACTNATAGTAATATCTAACGATTGAATTAATAAAACAGGGATGTCCGCTTCTAAGCCAAAATAAAACACTGTGCAGTGGGTTTAGGCACGTCCAGTTGCAGAATCGCCTTGAGCTTCTCCCCGCTGAGGCACAATCGCTTGTTCAACAGCAGTTCTGCGCCGGTGATAGGTTCCAGAGGCGTGTGCGCGTAACTCTAGTCGCTATCTGTTTGAAGGCGATTGCTCTAATCGCCATCTGTTTGAAAGCGTTTAACCTTAAATGAGTAGGTACCAACCTGCAAAAGCTTCTCAACAGTGGGTTTAGGCGCGTCCAGTTGCAGGATCGCTTTCAGCTTCTCCCCGCTGAGGCACAATCGCTTGTTTAACAGCAGTTCTGCGCCGGCGCTTGGTTCCAGCGGCGTGTGCGCGAGCGGGTAACGGCGGTAGATATCATCGAAAGCAATCGCTTTCTTTAATCGCCATCTGTTTCAAGGCGATTGCCCTGATCGCCATCTGTTTGAAAGCGATTACCTTCAAATTAGAAGGTGTTAAGTAATATTCTTACCTGCAAAAGCTTCTCAGTAGTGGGTTTAGGCACGTCCAGTTGCAGGATCGCCTTAAGTTTCTCCCCGCTGAGGCACAATCGCTTGTTCAACAGCAATTCTGCGCAGGCGCTGGGTTCTAGCGGCGTGTGCGCGTAACTAATCGCGATCAGTCTGAAGGCAATTGCTCTAATCGCCATCTGTTTGAAAGCGATTAGCCCAAATGAGTAGGTACCAACCTGCAAAAGCTTCTCAACAGTGGGTTTAGGCACGTCTAGCTGTAGAATCGCCTTGAGTTTCTCCCCGCTGAGACAATCGCTTGTTCAACAAAAATTCTGCGCCGACGGTGGGTTCTAGCGGCATGTACGCGTAAGTAATCGCTATCTGTTTGAAGGCGATTGCTCTAATCGCCATCTATTTGAAAGCGTTTAACCTTAAATGAGTAGGTAACAACCTGCAAGAGCTTCTCAGTAGTGGGTTTAGGCACGTCTAGCCTTCAGTTTCTCCCCACTGAGACACAATCTCTTGTTTAACAGCAGTTCTGCGCCGGCGTTTGGTACCAGCGGCGTGTGCGCGTAACTCTAATCGCTATCAGTTTGAAGGCGATTGCTCCAATCGCCATCTGTTTGAAAGCGATTACCTTCAAATTAGAAGGTGTTAAGTAATATTCTTACCTGCAAAAGCTTCTCAGTAGTGGGTTTAGGTACGTCCAGTTGCAGGATCGCCTTCAGTTTCTCCCCGCTAAGACACAGTCGCTTGTTCAACAGCAGTTCTGCGCCGGCGCTTGGTTCAAGCGGCGTGTGCGCAAGCGAATAGCGGCGGCAAATATCGGCCCACGCGGTTAAATGCTTGTCGTTCGCTTCCTCCGCTACTGATGCTATGTCGTTCTAAGGAAAGAAAATACACCACCAATCAGCTGATATAAATTGTGACGTGTCAAAGGCATCGTTTTACTTTTTATACAACGTTTCATTCAAGAAGACGCGCCCTACCAATTTTTGGTCGAGGAAGCGCGGGGTGCGGGGAGTTTGATCCGAACAATCCCAGCGTCATTATTGTAGTGTGCGTGTGCACTCATGGATAATTTAGCGTGTACCGATAACACTCGAACATTAGCGGAAGAATGGTGGGGCGCGTCTTCGTGGACGAAACGATCTATAAACTTAACAGTTGGCACCACTGACGAGTGATAGGATCTTACTCTACAGTAGCGCGATCGTGGTGAGTGCAAATACGATCCTCCTATCGCTTCAGCGCTCACCAGTTGTTGTCACTGTTGTCTTAGGACCTTACTTTACTACTTTTTAGGCGCTAAAACGAGAGCTCTCATTGGATGTTTCTAAATAAGCATGGCAGCAGAGTTCTGGAATGGAGGCTGTGTACCGGAAAATGCAGCGTGGGACATCCATCCAAAAGGTGGACCAACATCATAAAGGTAGCTGGAAGGCGCTGGACGCAGGCCGCTACCAACCGGGCTACATGGAAAGTATTGGGGTGGCCTATGTTCAGCAGTGGACGTCCTATGGCTGAGATGATGATGAAATAAGCGCATAACTGAGTAGATAGTGCCATGTGACGTAAAATAACTGTAACAGTTTACAGGTCTGAAAACTTGCTGACTTTTGACATAAGCAAGCGTGTGAGGGCGTGTTGACGAGCCGGTTTCTGTCCGGTCCGTCACACGTCCTAATACAACAACATCTAACCTTAGCCAAAGTAGAAATCGCTGTCTCATAGTAATCATGATTGATCTTGAAGATATCCGACACCAGCTCAGCCAGGCTTCCCTGCGTGGTGTTGGCGTCAGGCAGACGTCCGTCACGTGGACCGTGTTCATCTTGAGGTCGGCCGTCCAGAGAAGCTTTCATTATTACAACCACGTCGAGTTAACTACGTATCTGGCGGCCGTGGCGTCACATCGACGCTCTGGTACGGACGGACCGAACGCGCGGTGTACGGGCAAGTGGGAGGGAGTCGCATTCCAGCGAGATGCGCAGTTAAAGCCCGGTCCGTGAGCACGTAGAATTCTGTCCAATGACCCCAAGCTACCCATCCTTATCGCTCGCGCGCAATTATATTGCTGTCGCGACTGTGCGACGGGCGCCCGCAGTGAGTGTGCGAGCGCGATAGCAACATAATTACGCGCGAGCGATAAGGATGGGTAGCTTGGGGTCATTGGACAGAATTCTACGTGCTCACGGACCAGACTTTAGCTCGATCGGGTAGTATATTAATTTATCTTGACACTAGATTCTCACCTTAGCCAAAGTAGAAATCGCCGTCCCATAGTAATCTTGGTTGATCTTGAAGATATCCGACACCAGCTCAGCCAGGCTTCCCTGCGTGGTGTTGGCGTCATCCACCACGTTGTACGCCTGCCGGTTGGCGTCAGGATGACGGCCGAGCGTCAGACGTCCGTCACGTGGACCGTGTTCATCTTGAGGTCGGCCGTCCAGAGAAACTTTCATTATTACAACCACGGAGTTAACTACGTATCTGGCGGCTGTGACGTCACATCGACGCTCTGGTACGGACGGGGCGAATGCGCGGTGTACGGGCAAGTGGGGAGGGAGTCGCATTCCAGCGAGATGCGCAGTTAAAGCCCGGTCCGTGAGCACGTAGAATTCTGTCCAATGACCCCAAGCTACCCATCCTTATCGCTCGCGCGTAATTAAATTGCTGTCGCGACTGTGCGACGGGCGCCCGCAGTGAGTGTGCGAGCGCGATAGCAACATAATTACGCGCGAGCGATAAGGATGGGTAGCTTGGGGTCATTGGACAGAATTCTACGTGCTCACGGACCAGACTTTAGCTCGATCGGGTAGTATATTAATTTATCTTGACACTAGATTCTCACCNAAGTACTAGTTCTATTTTGATGATTATCAGTGAGTGAGTGAGTGTCATAAATGCGAAACTTTGCTTTCGCTTAACTTCGGAACTAAATGACCTACAGACTTGAAATTTTGGATTTTAAGTATGTGATTATAGCTTATTAGATGACGAAAGTTTCTGCGTTCTGGTCTTATCCAGAGGTTCTCAAATAGAGGCCTGTAAATGCGGCGAAATGGTTCCAGTAAAGGATGGTACGGCAGTGTTTGCTTCGCGCTCGACTTGGCGGGGGCACTGCCGTGCCCCCAGATCCTCCGCTTCAGCGCCCTAAGACAGTCTTATGACCTTACTCTATAGTGGCGCCAACTGGTGGGCGCTAAAACGAGAGCTTCTAAATAAGCATGGCAGCAGATTTCTGGAGTGATGCAGCGTGGGACGTCCATCCAAAAGGTGGACCAACATCATAAAGGTAGCAGGAAGGCGCTGGACGCAGGCCGCTACCAACCAGGCAACATGGAAAGCATTTGGGAGGTCTATGTTCAGCAGTGTACGTCCTATGGCTAAGATGATGATGAAATAAGCATAGGCGCATAAATAATAAATAAATAAATAAATATCCTTGGACATTTTACACTGCGCTTCTAGTTCCAAACTAAGCAAAGCTTGTACTATGGGTACTAGACAACGGATATAAACATACTTAAATAACTTAGTACATAGTGCCATGTGACGTAACAGAACTGTAAAAGTTTAGTCTGAAAACTTGCTGACGTTTGACATAAGCAAGCGTGCGAAGGCATGTGCTGAGGAGTCGATTTCTATCAGTTTCGTCACACATCACACAACATCATCTCACCTTAGCCAAAGTAGAAATCGCCGTCCCATAATAGTCATGATTGATCCTGAAGATATCCGACACCAGCTCAGCCAGGCTTCCCTGCGTGGTGTTGGCGTCATCCACCACGTTGTACACCTGCCGGTTGGCGTCAGAATGACGGCCGAGCGTCCAGGCCGCGCGGCAGACGTCTGTCACGTGGACCGTATTCATCTTGAGGTCCGCCGTCCAGAGAAGCTTCATGGTTTCGTTGAGGTGCTTGTATATGCCTCCGTATAGAAGCCGAGGCGCTGTAAGTTAGATAGATTTTTTAATGAGGGCTATCGTTTTAGCGCTCACCAGTTAGCGCCACTGTAGAGTAAGGTCCTGTCACTTGCTAGTAACGAAGACAGTGGCGCCAACTTGTGAGCGCTAAAGTGGTAGGAGGACTATCGCATTTGCACTCATCAAGATGGCGCCACTGTAGAGTAAGGTACTGTCAATCGCCAGGGGTGCCAACTGTTAAGTATAAAAACGATAGCCCTCATTGCAAATAGTGGGACACATAAATAGCAGAACTTTATAATAGTGAACAAACCGGAAGAACAAAATACTAAGAATTAAACATGTCACGCTGCTGCCAGTACAAGAGGTGAAATGTGACAGATGCGCGGCGGACCTGTGCCTCAGACCAACTGCCAAAAAGCAGTAATTTAAACTGTCACACCTACACTATCCATGTGCACTCAAACAAATGCAAAACTCGGCTTAGACATAGCAAACTGTACTTAAAACTATATCTGTTTAACCATAAACACGTCCTTCATTCGACAGACCGAAGATCTGGTGAAGGTCACGGAAAGGAGGATACAGGCAGTGCAGGAATAGTCATTATGGAAATCCCTGGGACAGACCTTTATCCAGCAGTAGATAGAAGTCTTTGGTTGAAAAGGAAGGAATATAGACTTAGCAGACTCACTCAAGCTCCTCCTGTCAGCGACACCATAGACAATAGCGGGGCGAAGCACCGTGTAGTTGAGCTCGGGCTCCAGTTTCTTCAGCTCCTGCTCCACTTTATACTTCATACGGCCCTCCACGGTCCACGGTTCTACGGGGTCACTTTCTTTGTGAGGCTGGAACGAGATAAAAGTTGAAGAGTGACGACAATTTATTTGGTTTACAGCATTTATTTATTTACTGACTAGCTTTTGCCCGCGGTTTTACCCGCGTGAAATTTAGTTTGTCACAGATCGTCATAAATTATAGCCTATAATGTTATTCTGGGTTATAATAATATATAACAGTAATACTGAATCCGTTCAGTAGTTTTTGCGTGAAAGAGTAACAAACATCCAGACATCCAAACTTTCACATTTATAATATTAGTAGGATAAAGGTACACTAACATAAGACATTCACAGTATACATTAATAGGGTTTAATTCAAAGAATTGGGTATTTTTAAAGGTAGGGCCATTGTGGTGTTATTACAATGGTGGGTGCGAATCGCGGGAAAAACGACATACATATCGAATGTTTCACTGATTCTTATTGTAAAAAAGCCCAACTTTGTACTTCTTGTAATAGTGCGAACGAAGCAATGTGGTCCCACAGTATATTACAAGTGGTCCTAATCTACTCCTCGAGGACCACATAGCTTTGGAAGGACAATTATTTGTGACATCCACGAGTGTGACCACTCACACCCAACCTGTCTGGCTTTTGCCTCGATACCAAAATAAATCTGCCTCATTACTAGAGTGAATTAGAGAGATTCATGCTTCTGAGACCATATGACCTGATGATGGTGATTACTGACCTTGTCACTGCTATACATGTGCCCGCTAGATATCTCCACAAGCCGAGGTACGTTTTGCTTAGCACACTGCTTAGCCACATTAGTGCTGAGCGTCACGATGCCTTCTGTATATACCGCCTCCGTCTGGCCTACTAAAACAAATCTATAGACTGTGTCGACAAAATGACCAACCTTGTCGCTGCTATACATGTGCCCGCTAGATATCTCCACAAGCCGAGGCACGTTCTGCTTGGCACACTGCTTAGCGACATTAGTGCTGAGCGTCACGATGCCTTCTGCATACACTGCCTCTGTCTGGCCTACTAAAACAAATCTATAGACTATCTGTCGCGAGTGACTAACCTTGTCGCTGCTATACATGTGCCCGCTAGATATCTCCACAAGCCGAGGCACGTTTTGCTTAGCGCACTGCTTGGCGACATTAGTGCTGAGCGTAACAATGCCTTCTGCATACACTGCCTCTGTCTGGCCGACTCGTGTCTCTCCCGCGCAGTTGATGACGAGGGACCAGGATGCGCCGTCGGCAGGGTCGAGAGCTGATGCGCATGATGCTGGAAAATGGAGCTTGTAAGTCAAGGGGTAAGGAACATTTTTCAACAAAGCCCTAAATACGTGATGTAACAGAAAATTAAGTGGAAAGTGGTGTAAAAGAAAAGTAAGGTAACAGTAAACTCTTCTCTTTTGTATGATACTGTAGTGTCCGACCGAATGTTCGGTTTCGGTTTCGTTTTCGGTTGAGTTTCGGTAAAAACACGAGTTTCGGTTTAGTTTCGTTTTCGGCGGCAAACTTGCCGAAACTACGACCGAAATCGAATGTGCATTCGGGAGTTTCCGCGCTGTTATCGGTCATGTTCGGCGCGTTGAATTAGTGAATGAATCCGATCAGAGCCAAGCCAATAATAATTTAATTTAATAATTNCCGGAAGAACAAAATACTAAGAATTAAACATGTCACGCTGCTGCCAGTACAAGAGGTGAAATGTGACAGATGCGCGGGGGACCTGCGCTTCAGACCAACTGCCAAAAAGCAGTAATTTAAACTGTCACACCTACACTATCCATGTGCACTCAAACAAATGCAAAACTCGGCTTAGACATCGCAAATTGTACTTAACACTATATCTGTTTAACCATAAACACGTCCTTCATTCGACAGACCGAAGATCTGAAGAAGTGAAGGTCACGGAAAGGTGGATACAGGCAGTGCAGGAATAGTCATTATGGAAATCCCTGGGACAGGCCTTTATCCAGCAGTAGATAGAAGTCTTTGGTTGAAAAGGAAGGAATATAGACTTAGTAGACTCACTCAAGCTCCTCCTGTCAGCGACACCATAGACAATAGCGGGGCGAAGCACCGTGTAGTTGAGCTCGGGCTCCAGTTTCTTCAGCTCCTGCTCCACTTTATACTTCATACGTCCCTCCACGGTCCACGGCTCTACGGGGTCGCTTTCTTTGTGAGGCTGGAACAAGAGAAACGTTGAAGAATGACGATAATTTATTTGGTTTTCAGCATTTATTTATTAACTGATAAAGGTAAACTAACCATAAGACATTCTCAGTATACATGAATAGGGTTTAATTCAAAGAATTGTGTATTTTTAAAGGTGGCCATTATGGTGTTATTACAATGGTGGGTGCGAATCGCGGGAAAAACGGCATACATATCGAATGTTTCACAGATTCTTATTGTAAAAAAGCCCAACTTTGTACTTCTTGTAATAGTGCAAACGAAGCAATGTCGTCCCAGAGTATATTACAAGTGGTCCTAATCTACTCCTCGAGGACCACATTGCTTTGGAAGGACAATTATTTGTGACATCCATGAGTGTGACCACTCACACCCAACCAGTCTGGCTTTTGCCTCGATACCAAAGTAAATCTGCCTCATTACTAGAGTGAATTAGAGAGATTCATGCTTCTGAAACCAAATGACCTGATGATGGTGATTACTGACCTTGTCACTGCTATACATGTGCCCGCTAGATATCTCCACAAGTCGTGGCACGTTCTGCTTAGCGACATTAGTGCTGAGCGTCACGATGCCTTCTGCATACACCGCCTCCGTCTGGCCGACTAAAACAAATCTATAGACTGTGTCGACAAAATGACCAACTTTATCGCTGCTATACATGTGCCCGCTAGATATCTCCACAAGCCGAGGCACGTTTTGCTTAGCGCACTGTTTAGCCACATTAGTGCTGAGCGTAACAATGCCTTCTGCATACACCGCCTCCGTCTGGCCTACTAAAACAAATCTATAGACTGTGTCGACAAAATGACCAACCTTGTCACTGCTATACATGTGCCCGCTAGATATTTCCACAAGCCGAGGCACGTTTTGCTTAGCGCATTGCTTAGCCACATTAGTGCTGAGCGTCACGATGCCTTCTGCATACACCGCCTCGGTCTGGCCGACGCGTGTCTCTCCCGCGCAGTTGATGACGAGGGACCAGGATGCGCCGTCGGCAGGGTCGAGAGCTGATGCGCATGATGCTGGAAAATGGAGCTTGTAAGTCAAGGGGTAAGGAACATTTTTCAACAAAGGTCGAAAGTGGTGTAAAGAAAAGTGAGGTAACAGTAAATTCTTCGCTTTTGCATGATGCTCTGTAAAGAGGGAAAACGGGACTTGCAAGTAAAGAAGTAAAGGTCATATTTCCATAAAAGCCAAGAGCTTTTAGAAATATTAATAACTAGCTTTCCGCCCGCGGCTTTGCCCGAGTGGAATTTTGTCTCTCACAGAAAAACTTTATCGCGCTCGTCCTTGTTTCAAAAACCGGGATAAAAACTTTCCTATGTCCTTTCTCGGGACTCTATCTCTATGCCAAATTTCATCAAAATCGGTTCAGTGGTTTAGGCGTTTATAATATTTATAATAATATTAGTATAGATTTATAATGAATATCGGATATCGGAAGTCATCTTGTATGTAACTGTGCCAAACTGCGATTATTTTTTCTTAACGAATAAATGACGAGGTGTTGATATTTGATCTAATCGACATAACTATCTTTAAAAATAACTTCGCGAACCTGGGTGTTAACTTAAAAAAAGTCGTTAAATACTCGAACGGTTCGACCGTTGATGACTTAGCACGCACGTCACGTAAGACAATGGTCGATGTACCGACGACATCAAGGTAATCAATGTGACATCTAAAGCACTTACAATAGGTGCGATTTTAAAACAAAAATTAGTGTAATTTGTTGTCGACTGTATTATTTTAGTTTTCACAAGCCATTATTTAACAATGCGGCCGGCCTATTCACGATATGCAACGTGTATAATAATCGTTATGTCTGTCGCTAATGATTTATTATGTTTAGGTATGCTAAGTAGAGTTTTGAGGAAAATAATGTCTAACATTTCAATCAGGTAAAATAATAGTCATACTCATAATATAGTTTCATTCGTAAACACTATAGTGGGATATTTATAATATCTATTATATAAAAAATAAGCAAGTACCTACTGTTAATTATGAAAAATCTAAAACGTTAAAATAGCGGTATCGTTATAGCCAATGAGCTGCTGTCATAGTGACATTGACGTATTGTCAATGTCACACGAGAACCAAACGTCAGAATAGCGGGACGCGCGGAGACGGCTCCGCGCGCTTTTGTGCTAAGTGATGAATTGTATCTAAAATAAGGCAATATAATGTGAAAGATGAGTATCCAGTGTTTTATTTATGAGAATAGATCGACCGGCCTTTAATACTACGGTATATACCACAACAAGTTTGTACTATACAATTTTGTTGCAATATAGCCCCTAACACATAAAATGCTACAGTATAAATAGCTTGATGTAGTTTCGTATGTACATGAATATTGTAACTCCGTAAAAGTAGGAAGTTGTAATAGCTAGTTACAATAACTTAATAGGAGCAAGATAAAAATGTACAATGACTATTACGTTTGCTTGTATCGCTGTTGCTCTCTAATTAGAACAAGACTCAATGTCTTGTCTATGTAAATGAGTGTGGATACTGTTATTAGTTTCGCCTATACTGCGTATATCTGTATTTCTATTTTACATGCATGGCTATGTATTATTTATTATTATGCTAAAGAGAGCAGTCAGTCCTTGTGGTACTATAATTTGCGTTGTTTGTCTCACTTAAATATTATCCCATTAATATTGTAGCCTCCGTGGCTTAAATTTTTTCCATACTTCGTCCTAGTTTGTCATACAAGCAGTTGTTATAAATAGCATTTAAGGCAGGGTCCTGTGTCGTTAATCTATCTGAACCGTATAGCAATTAAATAACGCAATTACTTTGGTAATGCAATACATAACTGCTTTCACACCAGTCAATAATAAACGATGAGCAACTCTGTTAAAAATACTACTGTGGCAATGTGTTGTTGCATAAATTATGCACATACTAGCTTTTGCCCGTGGCTTCATTCGCGTTAGATTTAGTTAGTCACAGACTCATAGATCATCATAAATTATAGCCTATAAAATATGTTAATCTGGGTTATAAACAATAAAATGTAAAGTTTCATCAAAATCCGTTCAGCAGTTTTTGCTTGAAAGAGTAACAAACATGTTAACAGACATCTAAACATCCATACAAACTTTCGCATATAAAATATTAGTAGGATCATTAAGTGTTACTACAGCAATTTCAAAATTTCATCAGCAGAATGAATAATTTTTATTCTGAGACAGGTGAATATCAATAGTTTTATCACTTATCTTACATCTATAAAATAAATAAAAAGAGCTGTCAGTTTTATTACATTTTGATTAAGATCTATTAAAATTTATCATAATAGGTATGAAAGGCTATTTTATTTATCATGCAATACCTATGGCACTGTATTACTACAATTCGTCGCTTGCCTCTCTAACTCACTATATGTCATTTTTTTCGAAACTGAGTTATCTACACCATCTTAATCAATTTCGCAAGACAAATCGATCTGTCTAATCGCCTGAAAATTTTGCTAAATGTCAGTTACGTCAGTTAGAGAGGTAAGCGACAAATTGAGTGGTAAACTTATTTTGCATGAAAATGAATTTAGTTCATTTTAAGCAAGTTAAGCCGCTGCATACTGGAGGTAACAGTGGAAGTGACTCATCCTGAGTTGATAGCTTATCTCTCACTAGAGAAGTCATTGACAGGATTGTTTATAGCTTATTGTGCCTTTCGGTGTATTTTTTCCTCAATATGATGTCAGTTTATTGAAATCAGAGACATTTACTCTGAACCAAAATAATTTTACTGGTTCAGAGTAATTGTCTCTGATTATCTGACATCTGACAATATTTAATAATTTTTTTTCAATTTTTTGATCCTCATCAACTACTGGACTTTGGAGTGGGTTCCTAACACAAGCATATTTTAGCTAGAGGGGTTAACTAATTCTTTAAAAAATATGGTGGAAACATTGCTGGTTAATGTGAGTTTGGCAAGTCAGCATCAACATGAATTATTTATTAATAATTAAATTTAAATAAATCAACATTTGTGATGAAAGAAGGACAGAAAAGATATTATGTGCAATTCATTTCATAATTCATAAAATTCAAATACATAGTTCTAAGTTGGGCTTATAATGCAAGAAGTTGATAAAGCCCTGCAGTCTGCAAAATCCAATTAACTACATGTAGCATTGCTATTTAATATATAAATCAACATTTGTGATGAAAGAAGGACAGAAAAGATATTATGTGCAATTCATTTCATAATTCATAAAATTCAAATACATAGTTCTAAGTTGGGCTTATAATGCAAGAAGTTGATAAAGCCCTGCAGTCTGCAAAATCCAATTAACTACATGTAGCATTGCTATTTAATATATAAATCAACATTTGTGATGAAAGAAGGACAGAAAAGATATTATGTGCAATTCATTTCATAATTCATAAAATTCAAATACATAGTTCTAAGTTGGGCTTATAATGCAAGAAGTTGATAAAGCCCTGCAGTCTGCAAAATCCAATTAACTACATGTAGCATTGCTATTTAATATATAAATCAACATTTGTGATGAAAGAAGGACAGAAAAGATATTATGTGCAATTCATTTCATAATTCATAAAATTCAAATACATAGTTCTAAGTTGGGCTTATAATGCAAGAAGTTGATAAAGCCCTGCAGTCTGCAAAATCCAATTAACTACATGTAGCATTGCTATTTAATATATAAATCAACATTTGTGATGAAAGAAGGACAGAAAAGATATTATGTGCAATTCATTTCATAATTCATAAAATTCAAATACATAGTTCTAAGTTGGGCTTATAATGCAAGAAGTTGATAAAGCCTTGCAGTCTGCCAAATCCAATTAACTACATGTAGCATTGCTATTTATAAGTTATTCTTGTGTGAGTGTACTTAAGGATTACCTATGATTGAATAGAAAATTGATGAAAGAAAACCATGTAAAAAGAATGAGCAACTTCTGGAAATATTGCTTGGTAAATCACATTTTGACAGCTGTTTTCTAGAAAGATTTCCAATAAGATTGAGTTTAATATAAATAAGACCATATAGAAAACAAGTATAACAACTCTTAATAAGTTAGCTGTTGGGTGTTAACAGGAAAACTGTTATTATTGGATTAAACAATAAAGGTATTAAACTATTATCATGTAGTCAAGGTGTGTTACCTTGGCAGTAAATTTTACAGCATATTAAAGGCTTCTTTATTTGAAGCTAAAGGAGGATAAAAAATCAAACAGATTGAAATGTAATCTATTCAGAAATAGTAATAGTAGAAGGCTTATTTGTTTTCACACACAATGGAAGTTGTTAGGTACCTAGTGAAGGGTGGATTAATAAGGACCTGTTTGAAAAATTCATATTAGTATTTTATCAACTCAACAGACAATATTTAATCAATATCGTTTAGAGATGAAAAGGTACCCAGAAACAAAATATATGCTATTGATATATTATATTAACATCACATTATGTACTGACCTGGATTAATGAGGTTTGCGCTCTTATATTCAACGCGGGGGTCTTCAAAAACTTTGGTGTGCGCGGGGTTTAGAAAGGCCAGCTGCGGCGGGGTCTTGTCGACCACTCGCACGCCGCTCACCAGGTCATTGGCAACCAGGTACTCGACCAGGTTGCGGCCGATAAAGCCGCACCCTGAAATATCCACGAAAAAACATAGGTCACCGACGATGACTAACACTGCGACCGTTACAGGAACACCAAAAAAACCGCACTGTGTTACATCATGAAACTTTTACTATAACACCGAACACATTGTATAGTGTGAATGATGATGATTTATTAAACAATTACCTCCTAAAACCACAACTCGTGGTTTTGAATTATCACCGGCAGAACCAGACATTTCGCTAGCGGTTCCACAAAAGTGAATGACAGTTTGACAGATCACGGATGACGGATGAGCAGGTGAAAGTGTTGCCAAATACAAAAAAAAACGTCATAGATTAAACGTCTCTTCCGGTTTATTAGCTCTTCTTAGCTCAATCAAATAGCTCAGTGACTTGATGGCGCTAGATGGCGCTTCTCCAAGAGAGCCTATGGTATGGCCTGTGAAGAGAGCCCTTTAAAATCAAGAGAGGGATTTTTGAAGTAAATTTGGATTACGGATTTGTTTAACCTTGAGGAGCCATGGTATTTTTTGATAAAATTAAACACATTAAATTATTGTTTTGTATGTTTATATTTTATTCATTCAATTTAAAGTGGTCTGCTTAATCCGGAGGTAGCAATGTGGATACAGCCAAGCCACCTGAAAAATCATTGCAATTCTTAGGGTGTGTGATTTGCGCTTAAAATTTAATTCAAACTTAAGCTAAACATAGTGAAATAATTAACGGAAATACTAACTAATGATCAGCACCACGTAGCCGCTAATCATAGGCGTGCAGTGATCAGCCAGGAGGCCCGCGATCAACTGCACGCTGAAGAACCCGAAGCCCCGAGCCACCACCACCGACAGGCAGGTCGCCATACCTCTAAAGTAAAAATACAAAAGTACAGTTTAACTTCTGCTTTATTTATAACTACTGAACTGTAGATTTACCTACTGAGTGAAGTTATACTTCTATGTACTATGGGCATAGCTGGGCACCGTTAATCAAATAGTTAACTTCGTTAATCGTTAAACCGTTAATAAAAAAATTAACTTCGTTAAACGTTAAAGCGTTATAGCATGACCAGGAACATAAAAACCCTGGCATAGAGGCGCGTCAATTGCATTTGATAGTGCAACACTGAGTACAGTCGTACCTGTGTTAAATTAATAGGCTAACTTTATGTATCAGGATTCAGGATTACGGGCTAATTTGATATTTTCATAAATTAACGAAAAAATATTATTATAGGTAACCTGGTTTAAATAAATTAAATGAAACCGTCAATCGAGCTAGTAGGATTTATTTTATTATTCATCAATAATCAAATTCAGAACTTGAATATTCAACTGCAATGACTGCTCATGAACGCTTCAAACTCGGTACTTCTTTCCCAATTCCATAAAATTCAACACTTAGAAAGTGACAAAAAACTTTAAAATAGGTAGTTGAAACAAACCACAGCTAATTTTCATAGTGGACTGTACTATACGATAAACATGTCAGTCAATTTGACAACCTTTGTTGGAAACATTATTCAATGAAAATATTGTCCGAACCCTTGGTATTTCTCTTCGACAAATACTTTAACACATTGTGAACCACTTTTCTTTCACGACTATAAAAAGATTTTAGCAATTTAATTCACAAAATCAATTGCGCACATTTCAAATAATGTTTGTTTACACTTTGACAGCAATAGACTGACATGCAAGGTGACATGACAATGAAGTTTTCAGTTACTGTTGCCATTAAAAGAAAGTAGTACCATTAGTTTTCCGCAACATGGCGAGGGTTTTTATGTTCCTGGTCAGGCTATACATTTCGCAAGATTTAACGCAAGTTAACGTTAATCGTTAATCCGTTAACACATGATAATAAAACGAAAAAAAGTAATTGTATGCAAGGTTTAAATAATTTCGAAAGCTTGTATCGCGCATGGAATTTATTCCTCTTTTATGTTTGCGCTACAAGCTTTCGAAATTATTTGAACCTTGCATAAGTACAATTATTTTTTTCGTTTTAGTACAACTGCATTTCAGAATAAAAGCTTGTTTTTAAAAAAGTTTTTTAATTATTATAATTTTATTTTACACTATAATAGTATCTCAGAGCCTTGGTTCAATTACAATACAATTTAGCACCAAAGTGCATTTAACAAGTGTCATTTTTATAGTACTTTTGTGAAGCCTCAATGTAACCATGTTGGTGATCAAATAAATAAATAAAAGACAAATCCAGCAAACCCAAACTCGATAAGTTTCCACAGTTTCGTTTAGGAATTCCTATGGCCACCTCCTCCTGACTCCATCATCAGAACCCTGGACATCATCTAGTACTAAAGTGCTCGAAAAGACAAATCTAACGAACCCAAATTCGATGCGATGCCGCCGTTTCATTTAGGAGTTCCTATGGCAACCTCATGACTCCATCATCAGACCAGCTCAATGGTATCATAACATTGCATTGTCATCGTATACATAAGTATACCAAATTTCAGCTCAATCAGTTGAGGAAAACTAGTCTTAAATTCAGTCGCAAGAGTTGTCCCACACACTAACAAGTGTCGTTAGTGATTTGGTTACAAAAACTGTTGTTTTGGGTTCTGGAAGTTCTGGAAGCCCGAACGCGTTTTTCTAGCGTTTTTCAACATGCCTGCTGTATCTTTTTGGTAAAAAGTAGGTACTGGATTAACGATTAACGGACTTAAGATAATTTAACGGAAGTTAACGAGTCCGTTAACATGTTTTAAAGTTAACTTAAAAGTTAATCCGTTAATAGAAATGTTAACTTCGTTAATTAACGATTAACGGATTAACGAGTTAATGCCCAGCTATGACTATGGGCTAAAGTTCCAGCTACTCATTTCCGGTTATGTCGTCTCGTTCTCACCATTCATCACCGTTTGATGAAAGCTAGACAAAAAACGGAAATGGGTAGCTGAAACTGTGGCCTACTACTTCACAAGCTGGATACTTTTGACCTTACCTAAGATGAGTTGGATTCAGCTCCACCAAATACGTGTTAATATTCCCCAAGATCAAAGCCACGTATAAAAACACGAAGAAGAGCCCAATGCTCAGCAGTGGGATCGTCACAAAAAGCAGCAGGATCCCGCTTAGAGCTGCTATGATGAAGACTGACAAGGTGCTCCGCTTCTTGCCGAGTAAGCCGACAACAAAGGAGAGGAGAATAGAGAATAACGTGCTGACTCCCGAGTAGACCATGACAGCGTAGAGTGTTAGTGGCTGGATGGCTTTATTACAGTCAGGTTCGCTTTTAGGATCAGGATCATCCTGGGGGTAAAAAATTGTAACTAACTAACGTGAGACCGAGTGATGTTATTCCTATGAAAAAAATTCTGATTTCAGTACATACAATTTCATGGGAACTGGCAGCTCTACTAGCAACCTGGCAGAAGCTCTGGCCTGACATGTCTTCACGGTCAAAGTAGGCATTGATCATGGTCGGCACCCACATTGTGTAGCCTGTTGATCTGGAAAACAATGGCAAATGCTGCTGCAAATGCGAGATTCTAAACCTTATAGTTATAATAGTGGTTATGAATATTACCAGCTAGAATAGTATGGCAAACAGTAGACCCCGTATGTTCAATAGAAATAATGACTGTTTGGTTGCAAGGTCATACTTACGTCATGTATGCGCATAAAAGTATGTAGTAGAGCTTCAAGGAGTTGCAGAGCAAAGGGGGTTTAAAAAGCGGGGCGGTTTGGTTCCACATCCTTCTTAGGAAACCAATTTTGACGGTTTTGGTATCATCTGCCGTTGCGATCTCTTCAAGGTAAACGGTTTCTATCTAGTTAGAAAAGCAAGTAATAAATTAAATATTTTTTTTAAAGAGAAGGCATTTAAGTTGCACATCTTGCACAGACTTACGGGAAATTCTGCTTTATTGCTGACTCCATTCCACCTATACATAGCTCTCAAGACGTCCATCGCTTCAACTTCTCTGCCTTGGCTGAGCAGGAACTTGGGACTCTCATACACAGCTAGTACACCTATAGAACCAATGACGCCCGGCAAACTGATGACTTGGAGAAGAAGGCGCCAAGGACGGTAGATCAGGGAGAGACAGGAGATTGGGACTGCGAAGTTCAATTGGAATATTGGGAGGGCGAATGCTGTAAAAGAAAATTAGTGGAAGTTAGCCAAGTTGATGATCATCATCTTCAAATAGATATAAATAAATAAATAAATAAATAAATATCTTTTGACATTTTACACTGCGCCTCTAGCCCCAAACTAAGCAAAGCTTGTACTATGGGTACTAGACGACGGGATAAACATACTTATATACTTTTTTTTTTGTAAATACATACATATTATACATAGAAAACACCCAGACCCGTCACAGAAATTAAAATTCATCATTTCAATTTCTGCCCGGCCGGGAATCGAACCCGGGACCTCTCGGCATAGTAGTCCGTTCTGAACCACTACACCAAACGGCCGACTATATAGACCGTGGACATTAGTCCACAGTTAAAAGCTTGCTGTATCTAACTTTTATTAATAACAATATTAAGTAGTTTCTGCTCTGAGCTTTTTAGGGAGACATGATCTTCATTAAAATACATTAAATGTGCTGACCGCATATGACGAGCTGCACGACCATGGTAGCGCTGGCCATCAGGAACATGAACTGGCTGCGCACGCGCCGCGGAGCGCTCTCTCCGACCAGCACAAACGCCGCGGCGTTCGCTGATGATGTACTGGACAATGTAATGAAAAAGGTTTTTTAATCAATAAATAAAATATTTAAAGATCAAGCAACCGGAAGACGTAGTAGTGTGGGCAGGCCTACAAGGTAGACTGACGATCTGTGAAGGTCGCAACCACCTGAATGCAGGCAGCGCAGAACCAGACGTTGAGGAAATCCTTGAGGGAGGCCTTTATCCAGCAGTGGACGTCGTGCGACGGGCGAATATACAAAACTACTTACAAGCAGGCTGACATGAACTTCAAAATGGCGAGCGTCAAGTAAGTTGGCGCCATACTTGCTGCCAAATTCAAGATGGCGCCGACCGGCATGGCGATGAGCAGGCTCCTGCGCCGGCCCACTGTGTCTGCACACAGCCCCCAGGCGTACGACGATATCATTACACCTGTGAAATTGCAGCTACTCATGACCCTAACAGGTGTAGCAAGTAAAAAATGGGACCTTAAAAAAATAAGGTTAGGTAACTAAATAACTTTATTAGCAGGTGTGCTAACTGTATATTGCCACTGCCGTAAGGATGAAATTTTGTTACTTTACTGCCGAATATGTTGGTGCACATACTTAAATGTTAAAAAAGTTTAGACGTCATAGAAGTAGGTAAATTCTACAAGAAGCGGCGTCGTCATGGCTTGCGCTGAAATTCCCGTTGATTTTGAGTTGGAACAAGAAGAATTTTTCGAACAGGACTGCTATATACTACGGAAAAATCTATGCCATTCACCGCGTTATGATTATATCATTTCAATCAGTTGCTTGATCAAATATCTACCAATAAGTGGCACAGCCGACAGCAGCCCCTGCTGCGCCGTGCTGAGCTTCATGTCGCAGGCCACCGCCGGCAGCGCCACGGAGAAGCCGAAGATGTCCAGGTACATCGCCAGGATGAGCAGGCAGCACGCCGTCAGGACGCTGATGTTGTATTTGCCGAAACCTTCAGGGGTAGAAGAAAAGAAACTTAGTCAGTGATCATAATTTTTAGGTAAATGACCTAGTAGTCTTTCCTGCAGGAATTTCAGCACTTCGTTCATTCATGAAAAGCTTCTGTGAAAAGCTTTTTGGCTGGAAATCGAGGTTTGTCAGTTGGAGTTGATGTTAATTTGTTTTACTGCGCAACTTATCCGCCAAGAATACGGATGGTCCTATTCTTCATCATCATCTTCGTCATCATTTCAGCCATAGGACGTCCACAGATAAACATAGGCCTTCTCCAATGATTTCTAATGACTTCCTGCCACATTAAATGATGTCGTCGGTCCACCTACTGAAACTACATGGCTAGGTTCTCAATTTAGCTTAAACATTATTTATAGGTAAGTAATTTCATCATACTTAGATGTAATATTATTCTTACCTGTCACATCAATAGCTTCATCAAACTCCAGTCTTTTGCAATCCTTTGCGTGTAAGTTTGTCATTTTCCAACTTCTTTATATTGCACTCTTTCATAAAAATATTTATTTACATTTATCGTGTTCCATAAGTTTAATTAAATAGAAATACGAGTATTTTTGATTTTGTTTGATTCTTGTTTTTTCTCATAAACTACCTGTTCACGTAAAAGAGAAGCAAGATTTGTTCTGCTGACAATTTATTCTGCATACTAACAACAATTGAGATGAATAAATTAAAGTAGATCCTACGTATCTTATTAAAATAAATAACGCATGTTTGTATGTTCGCTTGATTTAAACTGCCTATACGTAAGAGAGAAGTACATTTAAAGACAATGGAATTAGTTGTCTTGATTCAGAATAAGATTAAACTTTATTTCAGTTTTTATTGACTCCTTTTACCATCTAAGACTTTTTAGATGGCCGTTTGTACCTTACCGTTTGTACAAGGAGACAGTGTCACTTTAATCTATATATATAAAAATGAAACCCGTTTCGCGTTGTCACGGCATCACGTGTGAACGGCTGAACCGATTTCGATAATTCTTTTTTTTAAATGTTTGTGGAAGTCCAAGGATGGTTCTTACGGAAAAAAATATTAAGAAAATCTCTACGCTAAGGCGGTACGAAGTTCGCCGGGTCAGCTAGTTATTTATAAATTCTTCTAACAAATTCAAATAACCAGTCAAATAACAAGCCTAGCCCTATTGCATATTTTATCTAATTCAAGCAATGTCAAAGAAATAAACTAGTTTCACTTGCTTTTTGTTTTCATGAATAACTTATACCACTAAAGTGACTTTACCATTGTTGTCCTTGCACGGTCCACGTATTGCTTATTGAATTGCATTTATGCTAAACATCATTATTTAAATAGTAATTACCATCTCTTCCTATCTGTAATTTCTAGTTCATTTTATTTCACATGCAAAAAAAGTATTATTGTCAATGTCTCATATATCGATTAGAGTTGGGAAAAGAAAATATTTTAAATGCTTGGAAGTTTACCCAATATTTATCATTTACCACGCTAATCTTTCCACATTCGTAAGTTTCGTTAAAACCATGTTTTCCAATGGAAATGTTGGCGCCACTGGCGCACGTATGTATAATATTGATTGATTCGTATCGTGCCTCTAAAAGTCATGTTTATATTTTTTTATTTTATTCTCCTTCAGTTTGGATAAACCCGAATGTTTTAATCGTGTTTTACTATTAATAAACTACTTAGGTACTTACATATTTATAATGAATACTTAGTATATTTTTTGTTAGTGCGATAGATCGTATGAGGCACTAAATCTGTGATTTTTTTATGTGATGGTAGGTATGTGATTTGAGTAATATTTTAACAGAAAATCCTTTATTAGCTGCCAGCCTTTTTTTACTAAAATTATTTCTATTAAGGGCTGATTTTTCAATCGTCGGATAACTTTTAACTGAAGAATAAGTTTGGCACATTGACAGATTCCGTATGGGAAATATGTCAGATGACAAGTTTATTCTTCAGTTAAAAGATATCTGACGATTGAAAAATCAGCCCTTAAACTAAAATAGGCCCATTTAATAAAATAAATAATTTGGGGACTTTTACTCGCTCCCCCAATGCGATTGGGGCGCCAGCACTGAGCACTAAAACGTGCAGCTACCAGGGCCTCATAAGCTGAAGATAGTGCTCTACTTGTTGCTGTTTTTCCTCGGGGGATGGGGTATGGAATGGGGTGAAATCGTAGTAATCATAGCAGAGCTCAGCACGCTATCGTCGTCCCGCTCCCACGCACTGCGGAAAAATCAATAACCTCCTTGCGAGTTTTGCGCTCCTGGTACTTTTGCCTAAAATGGCGGATCCGTCAACCATTTGATGGCGCTAGGTGGACTTTGAAGTCCTCATTGTTTTGACAGTTGGGAACACGCTTTTCCCGTTTCCTATTTTCCTTGCTGGAATTTCCGATCTGCATTTATCAGGGCGGTCTTTTGAACGGTGCAAGCTCGAACTAGCATAAAGTGTGGTGCAGGAAGTGTATAAAATGCGAAAAGTGAACTCATGAAGTGGGAATTTCTTTATCAATAAGATTTTCCGAGTGAGAAAGCGCTTGAGATCTTCGTAGACAAATTTCCGCGACATCTGAGGTACCAGGCGCGCATGAACGCGAGGGGATGGAAACACGCGAAACAATGCGAAAGGAATGCGACAAGGAGATGTGAAACTAAATAACTTTGGACTAGGTCTCATTCCAAATCTGTGTACATTTACCGTGCCTGACCAACTGTTAACTGTATTCTTTTTAGAGAGCAAATGAGTGTGACCGAGAATAGTGAGCAACAAAGAAAAAGTTCTACTTATTTTCCATTAATGTTTTATTTTTATTCATTAAGTAAATAAACAGCAACATTCATGGTAAATTAAATAAATTCAAATAATAATGGTGAACTATTTCTGGATTTTTCGTACTTTGTATGTTTTTGCTGAAAGAACCGTATTGTACGGGGTAAAATAGGCAGAATGTTTTAATTAATGAATGTTATTAAGTTTAATTTCTTCATAACTGCAACGTTGTTGAATATCTGAGGTATAATACGAATTTAAAATTAATACCACCTAGTATTCCTCGAAAAAGGATTTTTTAAACGAAGTAATATTATAAGAGTTGCTTATTCCCTTTTGAATACTATTTGCAACCAAATAATTGTTTGCCACATCTATTCTTTCGTAGCTACCGCTCCCCACGAATGTTCTATCTAAAAATCGATAGGTCAACGCATGCGCGCCCTACAATCGCCGTGGAAACGCGCGGACTCTTCCTACTTGCTGTGAGCCTGGTACTGCCGCCCACAAAACTGAAATTTCCCTGCCCTCGATCAGCTTTCCCGGAAGTAGAAAACCTTCACATCCGCTTTCTAGGGCGGGCGGAAGTCATTTCCCGTTTCAGCATTTCGTTCATGAAAAGCTTCTGTGAATAGCTTGGTAACTTGGTGGCTGAAAATCGGGGTTTCTTGGCTGAAGTTGACATAAGATAATTTGTTTTACTGCGCAAGTTTCTGCGCATGCACGGATTGACTTTTGGCGCCACTTTTTCATTGATGAAAGTGACTGTCTTTTGAAGCACCACACTTTTGTCACCTTTTGTTCTTTTATGTTAAACTGTGTGTGTAATGTTTATCAAAAGCAAATGAAAGGGCTGTGAAAACATAAAAATAATATAATATTATAATTTATTTTACTTATCAATAACTTAAAGCTAACGCTATTATAGGTACTTACATACATTTTTGGTTATTTTTTACATACACTTGAATACATAATTATAACAATTAGCATTATTACACACAACAGTCTTTCTTTGGTCTAGCACAAATAGTACTTTTGGGCTTTGTAACATTACACAAGTTACATTTTACTTCGAAATCTTACACATTTTCTAATATTGATGAACCAGTGGTTTACGAGTTCGACTTTCGTGATCCGGTGGTCCGGTGGTTTAATACGAGGCACTCATTGAAAAGTTTTTTGAATAAAACTTATTGTGTGAAAAGAAAATATTCGATCATGAGCAAGTTAAGCCGTCGTTTTGATATTCCACACATGGTTAAGGCTGGTTTTAGAGTCGCGCTGACATTTGGGCTGTCAGCGCTGACGGTCAGCGTGCGTCAGCGTGATTCTAAAACCAGCCTAACCTCAGTTGGTATAATAACCTTCAGAAAAATATTGAAATGTAGAAGATCTTTTTCTTTTATGCCTTTGATGCATCCTCGTCAAATTTTGAAGCTTCGTCCCATTTAAGCATCTGTAGTAGAAAAGACGAAATAAACATGTTTGTTTTTATAATAAGTTTGTACTGCCAAAATTAGGACTGAATCACAAAGGCATAACAAAGAACATTGCAAAAAATTATGCGTACTTACTTTAAAGTATAACCTTGTAGCATTTTCAAGCAGGCACCATACACATACACATAGCTTTATTATGATTTTTAATTCAGCGTGGAAGTTTTCGTTACAAAATTATAAAATACAGTGTGTCAAAAAAATACAAGTGAAAGGGGTTGAAACTATATTACCTTCCGGGGTTGCACTAATTTATCCAGAGCCACTTTATCAGGAATTTAACACCAAATACCTAATTATCCTTTATAATGACAGGGGCGGACGAGGATTAGATACTGTTATAGCTAGATAGAGCTGAACCTTCCACGCGTCGCTCTAAGCTGCTGCTGCACACCACAGCATCCAAATTCACTTTCCTCAGCACGTCATCAAGTGACCGCAGCCATTTGCAACATACAAAAGCGCTGTAATGCTTTTTACAATAATCACAATGTCAGCCCAGCTCGGTGTCTTTCAGCGACTTGGCCCAATTTTAGCTTGGTCCACGGGCCAAGTCACTGGTTTGATTGGGCCAAGTGGCTGGATGACTCCTCAAAATAAGCGCTTTACAATAACATCGGAAGCTTTTATTTAAACCACTGGGGTATTTATTTATACCACTAATTAATAACGTATATAAATTATATAATCTCATTGTTTAGAATTAAACTATAGAGGAATTTACACGGGGCGACTGAGATCATGAACTCACAAAACAGCCTAAAAAGCGTAAATTTTGTTCTTGAGACTGCCCACCCTTATTCTACTCAATTTGTAGTACAAACTGTTCCATCTTATCGTATTTCAGGTTCCTATTTTCGCAATGATTCTCCCCATTCAAGATTCTCTAATCTGACTGATACTCAAGTTCTCATCTCAATCGTCCCGTCTGAACCCTGGACTCAAGCTCAAACCCGAGCGTTCTTCTATGTTCTTCTAATACTGATTATGTTCCGAGCGTTCATACCGGCTCGTGGGTCTCGTTTTCAGCCGGTTCGACGACGGTATCTCTGATGGGTATGTCCTTTCTCCCGGGGAGAGTGAGGCAGAAGACTGCGTTCACTGGGAAGAGAAAAGAGTTTATTGCCAGTTTTAAAGAAATCACTTCAAAGAAAAGAAGAAGAAGAACTTCATGTAACATGCCTCCAGTAGGTAATTATGTAGATCCAGGACTCCAGAATCCTAAGAGTTTTAGTGGTGGGAACAAGATGGTGATGCTTATAAATGCAATTAATAGGTATGGTTCATGTAATAGCAAATTATCTCCAGCATTAGGATTATTAGGCCGCTTGTTGCAGATTTTGATTTTGATTTTTACAATTATTTACGAAAAGTAAACTCACATTATAATCTTACTCTCTATAATCTCAAGAGATTGAAGTTGTATCATTTGCGTTTGATACGTAAACATTTTTTATTAAATTGCCTTTACTAGAAACTAATAAGACTTTAGAAACTCAATTGAATGATGATCATATTTACCAATGATAATTCCTCCGAAGAGGTAGAAGCTGATGCCGCAGTTGGTCTGTAGGAACACCCCAATGAGGTTGGAGCCCGCCATGGAGCCCACGCGCCCCATCATCATGGACAGGCACACTGCCATCGCTCTGGAAAGAACATGGTTTTATGACGAAATACTCTAAATTGACCTCTATTTTTAGACCTCTCTTCTACCTTTTCGATATGTTAATGACCTCTGTTTTTAGTTAGCTCATCATTATGTTGGTGTTTTAATCATGTTACTTAAAGATGCGTGAAATACCTATATTTGGTGGGAAACAGCTCAACGGCTACGGCAGTCATCAAGCCAATGCATGCTCCCGACATTTGAAAGATCGCAAACAGCACCACCCCCACTTGGGAGTTGTGCACCAAATGGGCTCCAATTCCACACATCCCGGTGACGGAGAGGATCGCCACCAGGATCGGCTTCTTGCCAACAAAGTCCACCAGGAACCCCACGAGGATGTACATGGAGGAGAAGACGAGGCCGATGTAGATGGAGCGCTCGAACGTCTCCGTGTTCATAGTGTCGTTGCATTCGACCTGGAAAGTTTGGGATATGATTAAAATCTCCTGAGGATACCCGTTCTGAAGTAAGCCCATTCAATTAAAAATGAGAACATTGGGGTTGGGATGGATAAAAGGATAGTTTTACGAGAATATAATGAGAAAGCATCCTTGGAATTTGCTAAAATCACATGACACTAATTTTATTCTAAGACTAACACAAGCATGAATACATCAACTCTTAACTTACTATAGTGCCATTGTCAGCTGTTGTACGGGCTGCATCAAGGATGTCACATATCCTCGCCTCTCCACCGTCGTGATTTGCCAAAGAGTTAAGGATTGAAGGGAACCATACATAGAATCCGTTAGTCCTGAAAATATTCGTTTTATATAAAAGCTAAAAGAAAAGAGATGTCTCGGCAATTTCTATGACTAACTAGCTGACCCGGCGAACTCTGTTCCGCCTTAAAGGCAATAAATAAGCCATCGCAATTTTTCCTTATTTGCTCACCGTTTAGACCTAGCCTGGACTACGACAAACATTTTAAAACCAAAATCAGCTCAATCGGCCCAGTCGTTCTCGAGTTTTAATCAGACTAATGAACAGCAATTCATTTTTATTTATATAGATAAGATAGATAATTAATATCATAGGTCTGTATTGAAAGAATTTTCAAAACCAAAACGTGTCGTTTGGAGAATTCGAGAAGGATAGAAATACTAACGTAGCAAATATCCCAAATTGTACGAAGCACGTCAAGCAAGTCCATGGGAGCAGCGGTCTCTTGAACAGTGGGACCGTCTGGTCTCGCATGGATCTCAAGACTGCTCCGATCCCATGACTTTCTACGTCTTTGTCGCTGTGGTTCTCCACGATCAGAGTTTGTACCTGGAGGAGAAAGAAATAATTTATTGCAAAAATATTGTAGAAAGACACATTTGAACATAATATTTCATTAAGTGCCCTCCTGGTTTAAAATTTTGTTTTATTGCATTTTTGCTTTTACATTGGAAAAAAATGCCGTAGTGAACATATGAGGTAAGGCAAATAGATGTCGTAGAACACTAAAGTCAATAATAACACTAAAACCTCGTAAAAAAGAAGTATGAAAAATAGTTCTTACCGGAAAGCTGTCTCTAGGTTGCTTTTGATTAGCGGAATAAATGGTCTTCACGACCTCCAGGCACTCTTCATACTGGCCAACAGCATTGAGGAACTTGGGACTCTCAGGGGCGAACATTAAGAAAATGGTACTGAGGGCGTAGGGCATAGCACAAGCAACCACGAGCAGCCTCCAGGGTCGGTATGCGATGTCCAGGAACGGCATAGGATAGTAGAACTCCAGTGGGAGAATCAACCAGCTTATACCTCAAAATAATATAAATCTAGTTAGAAAATTGGTGATATTCTTCACATTTTTAGGGGAACTAACATTTATTTACCTGGTAAAACAACAGTGCCGATTCCAACGAACGAAGACCCGAAGGCCACCATTTTGTCTCTGTGCCGTAAGCTGTTGAATTCTCCGAGGTATGTGTACACGACTGCTGAAGGTCCAGACATGCTGAGAAGTGAGAAAATACTCTATGTAATAGAAATAGCTTGAGATAAACATCGCATAATATACAGGGTTACAGGGATACTCGACCTATTCCTTGAAAAGGAGAGATACCTGTAGATTTGGTTAATAGAGTGTTTTTTATCTTCGACAATAGTGTGCGAAATCAACCACACACGTGCTGCCAGCCAGATTAAAGGCAGATGGATACCTTATAGGCTAGTCTGTTTCATATTCATGTCATTTTCTCTTAGTAAAAAGGCGTTCTGAAAATGGGCTACAGACAGTTGAACGTCACTTACAAAACTGAAGAAATAAACTGCAGTATAGCAAAGCTGATGAGGTTGGGTGCGAAACTGGTCAGCACGGAGAAGACTGCCGAAACCGCCATGGAAGACAGCATGACCGGCCGCCGGCCCTGCGTGTCTGCCAGCCAGCCCCAGAAGTACGAGGTCAGGATTATAGCTGGAATGGCAGAAGAAAGTTATTTTATTATAATGGGACATAATAACCAAGCAAATGCTATGCCTAAACTAACACACATAGACAGGGAATCAATTCAAATCAATTCTATTACTCCCTCTCTACATTACATATTTTTTTGTTGTGTGAAAGTGAAAGTTCGCTTCCTTCTTCGGCCTGATCATCACTTCTAATCACGTGCGATACCTACATACAGGCTAAGAGTTTCCCTATTGTGGTTAAGACAATTTCTAAGAAAATTTGTAATGTCNGTGAGATTAATGATTTTCTCGTATCAGGTAAATGATGTGATGTCATTGGGAGTTTCATAACAAGTTAATAACATGTAACTACTACTACATAATATTAACGAGTTAGATGCAAAGTAAGTGATAACCAACATGAACTAGATGACTCAATATTCATCGTTATTGCAACCAACAGAATATTAAAAAAAGAATTGCGCGATTGGCATGACGTATCCCAGCGCCAGGCTCCACATGATCACACCATCATCAGCATGTGCAAAATTGTGTGTGTCCCTCACCTATAGCGGCCAGTCAGCCCCGCTGGCTAATCTAATCTAATTCAGCCGTCATGACGTAGGCCAGAGTCTTGCTCTGCATGACAATACCCATAAGGATTAGGCTTCACACCAGCATAATATTATGCATGATGTTCCTCCCTTGACGTAGTTCTACTTGGTAATGTTTCCAGCATACCTGCGAAGAGTGTAGTGGCCAGAAAGTCCCGAGCCAGAGGTCGCACTGAGCGGCCGGCATGACGTAGCGTTAGGCTCTGCATGATCACGCCCATGAGGATCCCTCGCCTAGATAGGTAGTTCTATTTGGCCAAGCTTCCAACCTACCTGCGAAGGGTATAGCGGCCAGCCAGCCGCGCTGCTGCAGCGTGAGCTCGAGGTCGCACTGCGCGGCCGGCATGACGTAGCCCAGTGCCAGGCTCTGCATGATCACGCCCGTAAGGATCAGGGATCTTGTGCAGTCCCTCGCCTAGATAGGTAGTTCTATTTGACCAAACTTTCAACCTACCTGCGAAGGGTATAGCGGCCAGCCAGCCGCGCTGCTGCAGCGTAAGCTCCAGGTCGCACTGTGCGGCCGGCATGACGTATCCCAGTGCCAGGCTCTGCATGATCACGCCCGTAAGGATCAGGGATCTTGTGCAGTCCCTCGCCTAGATAGGTAGTTCTATTTGACCAAGCTTCCAACCTACCTGCGAAGGGTATAGCGGCCAGCCAGCCGCGCTGCTGCAGCGTGAGCTCGAGGTCGCACTGTGCGGCCGGCATGACGTATCCCAGTGCCAGGCTCTGCATGATCACGCCCGTAAGGATCAGGGATGTTGTGCAGTCCTTTGCCTGGATCTGTAGTTCTCTTGACCAAGCCTCAAGCCTACCTGCGAAGGGTATAGCGGCCAGCCAGCCGCGCTGCTGCNGTAATGTCATTACGAGTAGGAGTTTCATAATAAGTTAATAACATGTAACTACTACTACATAATAATAACGAATTAGATGCAAAGTGCAGTCAGTGGCTTGATAACCAACATGTAGGAAATTACCAGCAGAATATTAAAAAAAGAATTGCGCGGCTGGCATAACGTATCCCAGCGCCAGGCTCCACATGATCACACCATCATCAGCATATGCAGAATTTTGTGTGTCCCTCACCTGATCTAGTTCTATTTGACAAAGTGTCCAGCCTACCTGCGAAAGGTATATCGGCTAGCCAGCCCCGCTGGCTAATCTAATCTAATTCAGTCGCCATGACGTAGCCCAGAACCAGGCTCTGCATGATCACGCCAGCATATCAGCATACTCAGGATGTTCCTCCCTTGACGTAGTTCTACTTGGCAATGTTTCCAGCATACCTGCGAAGAGTGTAGTGGCCAGAAAGTCCCGAGCCAGAGGTCGCACTGAGCGGCCTGCATGACGTAGCGTTAGGCTCTGCATGATCACGCCCATGAGGATCAGGGATCTTGTGCAGTCCCTCGCCTAGATAGGTAGTTCTATTTGACCAAGCTTCCAACCTACCTGCGAAGGGTATAGCGGCCAGCCAGCCGCGCTGTTGCAGCGTGAGCTCGAGGTCGCACTGCGCTGCCGGCATGACGTAACCTAACGTCAGGCTCTGCATGATCACGCCCGTAAGGATCAGGGATCTTGTGCAGTCCCTCGCCTAGATAGGTAGTTCTATTTGACCAAGCTTCCAACCTACCTGCGAAGGGTATAGCGGCCAGCCAGCCGCGCTGCTGCAGCGTGAGCTCGAGGTCGCACTGTGCGGCCGGCATGACGTAGCCCAATGACAGGCTCTGCATGATCACGCCCGTAAGGATCAGGGATGTTGTGCAGTCCTTTGCCTGGATCTGTAGTTCTCTTGACCAAGCCTCAAGCCTACCTGCGAAGGGTATAGCGGCCAGCCAGCCGCGCTGCTGCAGCGTGAGCTCGAGGTCGCACTGTGCGGCCGGCATGACGTAGCCCAGTGCCAGGCTCTGCATGATCACGCCCGTAAGGATCAGGGATCTTGTGTAGTCCCTCGCCTAGATAGGTAGTTCTATTTGACCAAGCTTTCAACCTACCTGCGAAGGGTATAGCGGCCAGCCAGCCGCGCTGCTGCAGCGTGAGCTCCAGGTCGCACTGTGCGGCCGGCATGACGTATCCCAGTGCCAGGCTCTGCATGATCACGCCCATGAGGATCAGGGATGTTGTGCAGTCCTTCGCCTGGATCTGTAGTTCTCTTGACCAAGCCTCAAGCATACCTGCGAAGGGTATGGCAGCCAGCCAGCCGCGCTGCTGCAGCGTGAGCTCGAGGTCACACTGCGCTGCCGGCATGACGTAGCCCAGTGCCAGGCTCTGCATGATCACGCCCATGAGAATCAGGCCGCACATCAGCATGTGCAGGACGTTGTACATGCCGAATCCTGCGAAAATTTTACATATCTTGTAGTCTATTAGCTCTTAAACTCGTTCAAAATACGCTAAACGAAAATTAGCCGTTCAGAAACTGAACCAAGTTCAACTTGATCGAGGTTAAGTTTAAATGCTGGTGAGAGATGGGTAGGTACTTTAGATTTGTGGTTTTATCTAAGGTTGCTTTCAATGACTTGGCTAATTATTATGAACGGCCTATTCGTATAATTAGACAGAGCAGTCGTCCGTAATATGATGTCTCCTCCGCATTTTGGAGATGTACGGTTCGTACGAAGTTTTGTAAAATAACAAAATTTGCTTTCTCACTCTTAAAATACTCAGGATGGAAACTTTGTAAAATATACGAGCATCTGTAAATTCTTCATGCCAAATATGATATGGATATATGACCCTTAAGCAATCTTCATGAATCGATGGGGTTTCCCACGTCTCTCGCTTCCATTAAATCATCAGTCTCGTTTATTTGCTCACTTATCTTAGGGAATTCTGTTATTAATACTGTGTGCATAAGGCTCAAGTGTATTGTTAGTGGGTTGTTAATTTACAGCATTGTCAACGACGATGCGTGAATGAAAACATTGTAAATGAAGATTAGTGTGTTTGCGACTTTTCATTTTACACGGATGCTATAATGTATCACGCGATGGGGGTTACATTGATGAAAAAGTTTTTGCAGTAAAATTAATGTTGTAAGGTACAGAGGCAGGAAAACTGAAAATTTGAGAATTCCCCCACAAAGATTGACCCTCTACTCAAGGAATGTTTATTGTATGGCAATAAAAATATTTAATAAATTACCCGAAGATATTAAAACATTGACATTTACTAAATTTAGAAATAATTTATTAGAATTCTTAAAACAAAAGATGTATTACACAGTCAATGAATTCCTGACAGAAAAATCTTTTTGACATTTTGTACTTGACATCTAAAAATTTCTTAAAATATGACATTATGTATCATNAGCCCAATGACAGGCTCTGCATGATCACGCCCGTAAGGATCAGGGATGTTGTGCAGTCCTTTGCCTGGATCTGTAGTTCTCTTGACCAAGCCTCAAGCCTACCTGCGAAGGGTATAGCGGCCAGCCAGCCGCGCTGCTGCAGCGTGAGCTCGAGGTCGCACTGTGCGGCCGGCATGACGTATCCCAGTGCCAGGCTCTGCATGATCACGCCCATGAGGATCAGGCCGCACATCAGCATGTGCAGGACGTTGTACATGCCGAATCCTGCGAAAATGTAACATACCTTGAAGTCTGATTAAGTTACATATGTTTTTATATAGGGTTGCCCCAATGACTTGGCTAATTATCCTCCAGCCTTTTTGATTGGATGCCGGCGTTTAATGAACGGCCTATTCGTATAATTAGACAGAGTAGTTGTCGATAATATGATGTCCCGTTAGGATACGGTTCGTACGAAGTTTTGTAAAATAACAAAATTCGCTTTCTCACTCTAAAAATACCCATTAACACAGGATGGCATCTGCAAATTCGTCATGGAGAATATGATATGACCCATAATCCTATATCAAACAATCTTCATGAATCGATGGGGTTTCCCACGTCTCTCGCTTCCATTAAATCATCAGTCTCGTTTATTTGCTCGCTTATCTTAGGGAATTCTGTTATTAATACTGTGTGCATAAGGCTCAAGTGTTTTGTTAGTGGGTTGTTAATTTACAGCATTGTCAACGACGATGTGTGAATGAAAACATTGTAAATGAAGATTAGTGTGTTTGCAACTTTTCATTTGGCACGGATGCTATCACGCAATGGGGGTTACATTGATGAAAATTTTTGCAGTAAAATGAATGTTGTAAACTTCAAAGAGGTGACTCTACAAAAGGTTTCGTTACGGGAAAATACGACGCATTGAAGCAACTCGCCGTATTGCAAAAGCTGCAATGTATATCCCATTGGAGCTTTTTGCAAATCCTACTACGAACACAATACGATCAGATTGCTTTGGGACAATGTGCTCCAGTGCACCCAGTACTGTGAAGAAATTCAAGAGCAGCACAAGAAACTCAGTCACCAAACAAAAGTTCGTATAATAGTTAGTTAGTTGTGTGAATGATACTTAACTATTTATGTAATTCTATTTACTACTTTAAGCCTCTATTTTTCTCTATGATAAGTTAATTGTGTCAAACGTTTATCTTGAAACAGTTAAAAAATTCCACAGTTTCCCAGTAGGTTTCAGTATGTTAGTAAACACAGCGTATGTATGTTTACATCGTAGAACCGCATTTGAAATAGCGGCTATCATTGCGTAGGCCCAATAATTAATATGACTAATGTGTGTCAATAGACGAAGAGGGCATCTAAACTAGTTAGTGATTAAGATTATGTTTATGTTTTGGTGAATCTTGTTTAGTGTTTTTATACAAAGTACACATGTGTCTCTTGACCATAATCTCACTCAAAGGGTGTACTGCAGATGCGGTCTATGAAGGTCTTGGGCTTGGGTTTATGTGGTTCGGTAACTCATAAAAAAACTCATTTAAAACACATTTATTTTTGCAAATAGACTTTTAAAAAGCACTTTTACACGTCCCAGTATTAACCCTATCACACTGCTTCGGAACAATAAATAGGCCAGTGCTCAGAAGAAGAAGCGCAAGAAACTCAGTCACTATTGACTGATGATGGAAAAGAATGGATTTCCAGGCTGCACAGGAGTTGCAGCGTGCAGTAGTGGGAACGAAAGGTGAGAATAGTCCCGTAGCTGACAATATCACTTCTTAGTATGGATTTGTAGGATGTAGATAGTATTTAGAAAACAACTAAGTAGTTACCTACTTAGCCGAGTTAAAAATCTCAACCTCCACCTAAAAACGAATACTTTAGTAAGCACTCTGTATAGTATTCTTAACTATTGATTTATCAATAATATCAGCTGAACTTCGCCTCCTAAATAAATTAGCGTGTCGCTTTAAATTAGATTCCCAATCTCCTACAATGGAATAATTCCTAATTCCAGTCGCCCTAGTTATTAATATCTATCAGATAGGGTCGCGTATCAAGATATCCAAGGGTCATGTTTTGATAATAACTGCATAATTTTATGCGTAATTTATACGCTAATACGCGTGTTTTATTGCTAGGGCCGGTTTTGTAATAATAGATTTATTTTGATAAACCATTGATCGAGGAGGGAAGGGTGCATGGGTGCTCTACATGATAGTTCCCCTTTGACTGTCACGGTCTTTAAATACAGTGTTTATTTATTTAGTTTAAAGTTTGGTAGATATCGCAACAGAGGAACATATCTCGATCCGAGCAAATGAAAATGGAACTGCAAAACTTTTAGTACATCTGAAATTCAATGAAAAGATCAAGAAAATGAAAGAAAAAGAGAAAGAGAAGAAAACTATAAATAAGAGAACCCCATTGTTTGTCCTTGTGTCTGTCTTGTTGGTTGTCCTAAATAAAATAAAATACAAATAATGAACAGAGAAAATGAAATTCAAGCAATAGTTTCAGCATTGTTTTTGAAATATAAAACTAGACCGAACTGAAACTGTAACGGAGGGCAGAGAGATTGCCATAATTATGACGATGACATCTGCCCGCATTGCCATTAGCTATATAATCATGGCGTACTTCATCATTGATATTATGTCAATGTACCCCCATCTATTTACTTGTTTTCTTCAATAACCTGTGTAGGTAATGTAAATATTTGCTATCGATTCGAGCCAGTAGTTTCTTGACCAAACTGGCGACATTATACAGAATTTAATTATACACAAGTTTCCGACCTGGGCTGGGAATCGAATTTAGTCTATCCGTCTAAACTCTCCACTGGACTATACCTGTGACTATACTGAGGCGTTAAGTAATATTAAAATTAAAATTGAATCAACGATAAAACCATTTTTCAGAAGTTTCAGATTGTTAAACACATAGCTGCTTATTACCATGCGATGTTGACTTTTCCTCTTTATATCGTGTTATATCAATAGAAAAGCAATAAAAATCACTGGATTCATCGATTATTGTAGGATTAGTCGCAAACACAATGAGTGATAAGTATTATTTCAAAGGTATAATTAGGATATTATACTCGTAAATGTTGCCTTAAAAACATCAGATTGTAATATAGTAATCAGATGTTTTTAATCTAGAGGCTTTGGAATATTTTCATGAAAAATATCGTTATACTTACCTGTATTTCCGTATTAGGTAGGTATATTATTTACACGTGGTTTTTTACTAATTTCTTTGTTTTGTGTTTAATTTGCTTCCCCATGTGGCATTGCTATCTTATGATGGATTAATTATGATAAGGTTGATGTGATGGAATGATAGTTAGATTATCTAATTGTACGTGCGTCTAAAATAAAGTTCTAGATAAAAAATTAATAAAAGAACATGATAGGTTCTTAGAGAAAGAGAAACTGCCCCCCTAGACAAAGTGACAAACGTGATCATTCTGAAATCACATCTTGAAGCGAACGAAGCGTATTTCGAAATTAAAGCTGTCGTGAGCAAATCTAGGGTCCCAACCCTCCTAGATAAGTGGCAAAATGACAGTTGTAAATTCGAAATTCCTTCGATCCAATGCTTCGCTCCGGTGTTTTTAGGTAAGTCCTCCTTCACGGAGAATCAGTCAATCAGTAACTGACTGACCGACTCTCTGCTCCATGAAGGAAATAGCGAAATTACAACTGTCATGTTTTACCACTAGTCTTGGACGCTGTTGTTTTTAGGTATCGATGACACAATTTATTAAAGAAACCTGAATCAAATCAAATCAAATCAAATATATTTATTTTTCGAACATGGGTAAACGTAGGTATTACAAGTATTTTAGTATCTCCATCTTCCACCTTTTGGCATGCAAAATTATAAATCAAACTTATCAAATTTCATTTACATAAAAAAGAATTTTCACTTAAATAATGTCAGATCAATCGCAGTCATATTAAAATTGAATAAACATTCTACATTACATTTAAACATAATCTGATGATTTAATCCTTACCACTGAGAAACATGGCTTCATCCAATGTCGTGGCGGAAAGCTTTTCGTTTCTACTGGACATCGCCACACCGTTCACCGCCATCTTGATTGGAGAATCTCTCAATCTGGAGAAAATAAATCAGAAGTTAAATTTTTAATTGAAAAACTTGCCAAGTGTGAGTCCGTACGTAGGTATGGACGTAGGGTTCAGTATCATCACCCAAGCAGGAATAACAGTTTAGATAATTCAGTATGTAACACCATCGACGCTTTTTAACTAGTAAGTAGGGTTAATTGATGCTGATTACTTATATCGGTGACTTTCTCTGGCAGATAACTTAGAGCATAGTCAAAAGCTGTAGTTTATCTGAATATTCCATGAGGGCTTTATTAAGCCTCTATCTCACTCATTTTCATAACAAAAGTTTACCAAAAAGATATTTAAAAAAAGACGTATATTAATGCTAACGTTAAACTGCAAAGAAAAAGTGTGAGACACATTTCAGCTTCAGGATTCAGCTTTATCTGTGTTCAGAATTATCTGTTACCTAATTCTGACAGTTATAAAACATAAAAATACTATCATAACACTATGAATGTGAAGTTCCTTTATCAGTATTTGGTTTTTGTAAGCCCAAAAAAGATCCTTACAAAAATATTCCACTGATTCGTGATAAAGTATTCAGCTTGGAAAGTCGAATGTCATTTAACCAATGTTTTGTTATTAACTAGGTACCTAATAGGGCAATGCGATTACCTAAATACGAGACAAAACTTAATTGTAATGCAATTTTAAAAGCACGAAAATAAACCAGTGAAAGTTTCGTCTAATCGATAGTCGTTTTGAAGTTTAGCCGCAATGTCAATAAACAATAAACACCTTTGCGCTTCAATAAACACCTTTGCGTTTCAAGAAACATTGTAATCTTTTACGCAATCCATAATTTACTAAATGTTAAAAAAACTAGATTATTATTATTGTTATTTATTATCTTCCTCATACTAGAAATCTTCTAATCGACCCTATTGTAAAAACACAAGAGCTGCAATAAAATAGCGCAAATTATAAGTAATTAATTGATTGGAAATTAAATTGCAACATTACGTAAGAAACCGATACAAAGTAGCAAACAGGTAAAAATTGTCACAAACAGTTTTGCGAGTCAAGGAGGACATGCGCTACTAATAGCTTAGGGCTATTGTATCAATTATAAGTTCAATGATACCACCTGTTTACTTTAACGAAGGTCTAAACTTAGACTTAACTACTGGAACTTCTAGAACTTTTCTGAGGTCTCTTCGTTTTTCTGTGTATTTTATGAAAAATAGGTCAATAAAGCTCATAGCAGACTTATCAATTCGGAATGGGATCGACACCATATCTTCTTTCGCGAGCTGTCATCGCCGTTCGCGCGCTGTCCATTACAAGGCGAGGCGTTTACGTTACAGTGCGATAAGTGTGCGTTGCAGTACTTGCAGTGTGGAATTTCATACAAAGATTACAGACCGCCTCGAGTTGATACGATTACGATTCCTTTCCGGGCTCAAGCGGTAACGTAATGCTCATATGTACGGAACCAAAAATTATCGAACAATTTGTTTGATGATGGACTAAACTGGATGCAGAGCGATTTTATAAAATGGTTGTCCACAAGCGAATCCAACCCAGAACCTCCATTGAGAGAGTGTCATTATTTCACCACTGGACCTTATCTGATGATAGGAATCCGTCTAAAGAGGATTGTCATCACTTTAAAGTCAGTGAGGGGCATTAACACTAATTAATTATCTGCAAAATATTTACTTTAGAAAGCTGATTAAATATTATTTTGCTCTATTACCTACATACAGCTAAGTATCGTGGCGCATCTGACGTAAGTGTTTTAGTAGTAAAAAGAAAATAATAAACACCCTAGGGGCCTAGATGCTTTCGATTACGACGTAATATAATGGCTTTCAGTCTCTCTCTGTAACTCTAGGATATTACAGGCAAGTTTTTTATTTTATTTATTAAGGTATACCGACAACATAACATACAAAATGCATGTATGCCAGCCCATAACAAGTTTGATAGAGACAGATGCAGTAGAAATAATGTAATATTAGCAGATTCAGCAGGTAGGTAGAATGAATCCTGCAAAATGCATGTGTACTTGCCCTAAGAGCTTTTTGAGATAAAGTGAATAAATTCCATTTCCGAATATTTCATTTAAATATTTAAAAGGCTTGATACCCAAAAAACCAATCGAATTGAGAACCTTCCGTTTTGAAGGTTAAAAAAAGTCTACAATAAAGTGCATGCTAATTGCTTTAGTGATACTTACTGATAAGACTGTTTTATAATTTATTTATTTATTCATTTAGACATGAAAACAAGTACCTGAACATAATTATGTATACTATCTGATACTACGACAACAGAACCTTAAAGAAGTATCATGTGTACTTAACCTATTTTTTTATTTAAAGATATTTAAACAAGTTCAAATGGTAACCTTGGTGTTTACTCTACATACTCGACACTCGTGTATCTCTTGTATTGTTTAACGTATGTTCACATTGCTTCTGATAAGACCAGTTTTTATGTTTACACTCAATTATCTGTGAACGTAGCAGGTGACCGTGGGAAAATGCATAATATTAGGAGCAATGCACTCTTATACAGAGTGAAAAAGAATTTGCGAATTATAAAAAAACACAGACTATCTATACGAAAATTTTTTTTATTGCTAGGCCTTTTTCAGGGCACTTATACACGTTCCAATACTTCGAAATTAGCTTTTTTAAGCGATTTTGCCCAGAAGCTATGCTCTTACATTGAATGCTTTAGGTTGTTCTCATTCGGATACCTACAATATAGTGTTCCAAATTGCCCCAACATTGTAACATCAATTCTACTATCACCCTGTATGCGCCCTGTATCTAAAACTTGTTTTAGGAATTATATTAAAACGAGTTTTAGAAATATATTAATTGCATTTAAGTTATAATATACTCGTATTACTGGTTTATGTAAAGGTAATTACCTGACCTACTTACCCCAATCTCATGGCTTGAAATATTTCAGGACTAAAGTGGCTAATTATATTTTTGTCTTTATTAATCAGCTGAAATTGCTTTTAATTACATTCAAATTATAGTCAGTTCTGTATTCGAGTGCCGGTAAGATCAATAGGGAAAAGATATTTTCTTATTTGTATCTCATCTAGCTATGCCTTGATAATGACACATCGTGAGTGTAATTAGTTTGAAAATCCATTGTTAGGAGCAAGTACGATGCATCGGCAATTTGTTCAGTAATTAATACCCAGGTTATTTCTATGAGTCAATATTTTAAAAAGAAATAAGTATGATTTTGTAATTTGGCTTAACGTGCCCTCTAAATTCGTAGATTTGAGCTTCGTCATCATCGGTCTTTGTCTCATTGGTTTAGTCTCCACTGCAGGAGCATTATAACTTTCTCTAATTTAGGTAAGTACCGGAGGCACATGAAAGTTCAGGTCTACACTCCCAGTTAGGTTAGGGTAGAACACTTCTCCCCCCACAAGGGGGACATGTAGGGCCCGCGATGACGGAACGCCGCGGAGGTTTTAGTGGGTATACCCCGTCCCTTTCAGGACGGAGCAGCGCCCTTTTCAGGGTGCCAGGAGTCCCACACACCACCCTGTCCCCCGGTAGAGGTGACGGTGCGCAAAGAATTTTCTCCGCGACAAAAAAAAGGGTAGAACACTATTTTTTATCTGTTATATAATGTTTACTGGTTGTATTAGGTTTGGACAGACCAAATCCTCTATTTACAAGTTTGTTATTGATTCTGGAGTGTTAGCTAGAAATTCAAGGATTTTGTAATGTTCCACTTTACCTCGAGAGCTCCTGAAGTAGGCTCTATTATCTTAATATTGATATGAATCAACACACTTATGCATAACAGGAAAATAGGGCTTAACACAAATGCAGCATAAACTTGTATGGAGTTTTCTTTCTAGGGTTCGATAGTCAGTACTTTAAGTTGAAGGCTGTGCTATCTAATAGGCTTTTCAATACTCTACTAAGAAAACAATATTAATTATTAGCTGCAATAATATTTATTGTTTTTCCATTTATTTGAAAAATTGTTTTCATATTGACTTATCTTTTGTAGATGTAGAGAATGCTACATTATCTCATGTTAAATTATACGCATGCGTGAAATATTACTCCGAGAGTTACAAATAAATTAGCATGTTATTAGAAAAATACACTTGTGAGTCTTGTGACCCTAAATACACAAGATAAGTATACCTATAAATAGGTAGGTTAAATTATGATTGCAGTTCATAAGTTAACAATACTCTTTTTTCAACTTTCGTGTCACGTTTTGTTTTAAATTCTACGTCCATTCCACTGATAAGCACATTTTTTCACAACACGCAAGGTAGAAGTCAACAACATTAACTTTATTTAAAAAATAACATACAGGTCTAATCATGGCGAAAATAAATAAAACACCAACCTTTTCGGGACTAAAGTTGCGTGCGCGCAGACTACCACTAACTATAGTAAGCCCGCGATCATCACTTGGCTGCTGCGCCGGAGTACTGATTAATATACTGGCTGCACGTCGATTATATCTCAGAGCATCTTTGTCTTAGCTTAGATAAGCTGCTGGCCAGCAAATTAACTAATTTTTGGCAGTAAATGGAGATTTGCAAGCTTAAAATCAGGTCATAAACTTAACCTGGGTTTTTTGTCGGATAATGTGTACAACCTAATATATTTTTATCTCAAGATTTTTTATATTTAAGTGTTCAGTAACATTCGTTTATTGTTCATCCACCAGCTACAGGCGTAGATTTTCAGAATTTGAATTGTCTGGGATAATTTTACAGCTTTTCTCTTCACACAAACAAACCTTCTCTGTAAATTACCGATATTGTCACTTACCTACTTAAAACCCAGACTTTATTTAAACACCACAAAAAGTAGGCATTTAGCTACGATAACTTGTTTCAATAATTCCACCAATGGCATACTTAGGTACTTACTACAACCACAAACTACAACGATGACAATCCATGAATCAGCTATGAACATGTTTTTAATTAGTAACTGCTTAGCACTCATATCTTAGTATTTTGAAATGAGTGTGTTGTGTACTTGTGTCACTTATTAATTTTTAACCAACTTTAAAAGTAATAACTTATTTATGTGATTAAGTAAACAAACTCTTGAACCAGTATAAGTCAGAGATTGATTCCATTTTGACTAACCGTTGCGTTGTTTTAAAATCCTCACTATCTTTTATGCATTGATAAAACGACAGCCGAACAACAAATGTTACATCCGCCATGCAACTGATAATGGTTATTAGATCAATATAAACCTTAGTTATTAACTATCCGTCTATCAAATAAACTATTCAGGAATTTCCTCACTTCCGTTTTCTCAATACCCCTAAACAAAGCAATAGCCGTGAAAATATACTTGTTCGTGTCACAAAGTAAAATTACGTGTGTAATATTAAGTCGCCTACTGAGGGTTCCTCATTCATCTCCCTACATTATTTTTCTAGGTCATCTGGAAGAACCATTATATTTTTGATTCCCTATTAGCGAATCTTGCTGACAGACCGACGGGCTACAGAGGAAACCTATATGGATTTTTGTTCTATGTTTCAGAATTCTAAAAAGACGGATCGAGCGGATCTAAAAAGGACTTTCCTACAGGGTCATGTGTTGACACATTAGCCCATCTTACTATCTGCCTTTCATATTACATAACTACCACATGAACGGATGATAACCGTGGTTTGAACTTTAGACCGTTGGGGGTCCATTACTGCAGTCATGCAGATGTGATATCATTTATCTACGGATTTTACGACTGTATCTTGGAAATAAGACTGGGGGCCCTTCTCTGATAAAACACCCATTTCTTTGTCAGATTATTGGATGTGATTACAATTTACGTAATCATTAATTGTATTGAGCAGCTTGCTCTCAGCGAAAAAAATTGAATCTTCGACTGGATTTAAATTTCTTTTTTGATTTTCTGGATTTTTTTGCAAAACTAGGCAGATATTTGATCGCAATCACGCCGGATGTAAGTGAGATGCATCTAGGATAGTAACAACCTGCCCTGTAAGAGACTATGTTCACTATCGCCTTGAAGAAGCCTGGATTATAGTGCTACATCGGTACATACCTACCAACCAAAATACGGATGAAAATGAGAGCTAAAAGCTAGAAATTCTGAGGGATCGACGCGGACCTACGAGTAAAGTAAGTTGATAGGGGCGCTTCTTCTAATACTCATTGCTTTTCTTCATATTTTTCCAACAAAGAAGCGGGATTTCCCTAACGCTTCACTTTATTTCCACAAGATTACGATGTCCAAAATTATGTCTCACAGACAACTAAACAGATAAGCTCTACATTTTCCACTGTTGATTTACAATGGCAATCTGAACTGAAAAACAAAAATGTTCCAGTGATTTAAAAGTTACAATTTAATTAAGTAAGTAGGACTAAGGCTGGGTTGCACCATCTTACTTTAACTTTCACTTCATTCATAAATTTAAAGCACATATCAAAAGCACCTTAATGAAAAAGGGCTACTATAAAGTTGATGATTATATAAAGGATAAAAATGTTTGGAATGTTTAACTACCTAGCTNATTTAAAATACATAATTTTTATTTTCAGATCTTTTTTCTTCATAACATTCATTGATCATATTGTTTTAATTAATAATGTTGTTACTAAGAACATACTTCAACTCATAATGTTGTTGTTCAGAATAATTTACTTTATAACAGACATACTCGTATCTTTAAAAATATCATATATATTTTAATAGAGTAGATAAGCATGCAAAGCATGCAGCATGAAAGCAAGCATGCAGCATGCATTGGTATCTCCTCGTCTCCGGCGCTGCGGGATGTGCAGCCCTTTCGCCCTTGCGTAACGAAGCTCAGGCACCTACGCTAGCTTCCGCAACTTCGGCTTTTTGGATCGCCATCGGCGCCTTCGGCGCCTCGGCGACCAGCCTCAGCCGCTCCAGCTCACCCGGGCGCCTGAGCCTCGTTACAGCGGGCGAGGGCTGCCCTCCCTCCGCGCCTCCGGCTTTTAAATTACACTCTAGGGGTAGGGCAGACAAGACTACGTGGAGTCGGTTTTGCAGCGATTCGTTTCTATCACGTTAGTTTTGTGGCACAAAATTATTGCCTGTTTTGGACCATTTCAAATTAATTTAATGTTAATACGATTTAATACGAATAATAGACATCTATCAATAATATGGATAAATACACTTATGAGTAATAAATTTATGAAAACAAATATTAGGATACATCACATTTATGAATATTATAGTTATTTATTCGAATGATTATGAGTTTCGATCATTAGTATAGAAAAATATATGAAAACAAATATGTATTAGTAAAAACTAAGTGTAGGTATGATTAGTGATATTAGAATATCAATGATTATGTTTTTAAATATTTAGGTTTTAAATTTTTTATGAAGAATGATCATTATGGTATCAAATTGTATGAGAAATATTTTCGGACGTCCAATGATAGGAATTGAAAAGTTATTTAAGAAAATGCGCTACCAGTGAGATGCATCTAGAATAGTAACAACCTACCCTGTAAGAGACTATGTTCACTATCGCCTTGAAGAAGCCTGGATTATAGTGCTACATCGGTACACACCAACCAAATTACGGATGAAAATGAGAGCTAAAAGCTAGAAATTCTGAGGGATCGACGCGGACCTACGAGTAAAGTAAGTTGATAGGGGCGCTTCTTCTAATACTCATATTTTTCCAACAAAGAAGCGGGATTTCCCTAACGCTTCACTTTATTTCCACAAGATTACGATGTCCAAAATTATGTCTCACAGACAACTAAACAGATAAGCTCTACATTTTCCACTGTTGATTTACAATGGCAATCTGAACTGAAAAACAAAAATGTTCCAGTGATTTAAAAGTTACAATTTAATTAAGTAAGTAGGACTAAGGCTGGGTTGCACCATCTTACTTTAACTTTGACAAACGTCAAACTCCATACAAAAAACACCGGATATCGTCAAAGTTACGGTCAAAGTTAGGTGGTGCAACTCAGCCTAAGTTTTCCATGTTTATTTACGAATGAGAAGGTCGAAGGAATTTTAGTTTTTAAGTCATTTTAAGTTAATGTAAGTGTTATTGTAAAATTTATTCTCCAATGAGAAGGTGTTTTCAGAGTTCAAGATAAAAAATCAAGAAACGGACTCATACTATAAAATATTACGATACATAGAGTTCAATGAAAAATAATTTGAGAAAAAAGTTGTTAGGTCTGGTGGTAATAATAATGTGTTTGCAAGTCGGGTTTACGAGTAAATCCTGAAACGCGTTCGCAATAGTGACTCTACCCATTTTTTCTATTGTAAGTAGGTTGTTAATATCGTGAGAAGAATTACCTCATGTAATATTTACCTAAATAAAGCGCTAAATTATATCATGTAAGATCTAACAATAGATTGTCATAGGTCAGTACTTCAGTAGTGATAGTGTCAGAAATGTATCATGTATTAGCCATGTGTAACATAAATCATTATAATTGCAGTAATTAATATTTAATAATATTTATCCGATTTGCATCTGTTTATGCGTGCAAAGCTAGCAGATAGCTTCTGACCTATTGAAAATTTAATTGTACTATTGCAACATAGACCGAATTAGATCCAGTTGAATCCAGTTATGAGTGAAAGTTTAACTTAGGACTTCAGTCTGCTGTGCTTAATGCGAAGACAATATAGAGGTCTACTACCGATATACGGATTTATCTTTGTTATGACTAAACATTTTTTTTTCCAAAACTGTGTCTTATCCTTAGGACCAACCTTCTAACTAAGTTGTGCTAAGGCATTATCTAATGCCATGCCATAAAATGTGACATAGGAATTTGACTTCAGTTGTTAGACATCGTGTGAGTAGTTAGAAGAAGAGTATTAGACTTTCGTCCCTTCTCTTTAACGAGGATGATTGTGATAAGACTTGGACTGAAAATATCGCATAATTTGTGTTAAAACGTTTTTAATAAATAAGTTAAGCTACATGATTACAACTTAAATATTAAATAGATATTATTGGTACATCATCTGGCGTCAGTGTCTTCGTAGTCGCAAGATCGGTGCGAGACGTGATGGGTCGGCAGCAGGAAACTAAGGGCTGCGCATACTGGAACAATAGGCAAAATTAAATAAGTAACTGCTTTGATGTAGTAGTAGATTTTCTAGATTTCAGAGACGTAACACACGATACAATACATAGTTCGTTCGTTTCAGCCGAATGACGTCCACTGCAGGACGAAGATTCTGTGGACTATGCCTTTTCTAGTAGTGGAAGTCATTTGGCTGAAAATGGACTGGACTACTGGATCCTACAATCCCACCGCTGGCGGAGAGTCCCACATAAACCCTGGCTGCCGCCGCTGCCTGGGGTATGCGCAAAGGGCTATCTTCGGCATTGGACGTCCTGTGGCTGTAATTATGAGGAAGATGATTTTTTTATACTCACAGAACAGCAATGCAGAGAAG